CACTATATAATTTAAAAATCGAAAATAAATTGAAAAAATTTTCGACTCGGGCAGGACTTGAACCGGCATCGTCAGCTTTCCGTGCTGTTGCTCTACCAATTGAGCTACCGAGTCCTACACCTCATCGTCGAATTTTTTCAACTTATTGATACATGCACCTCTCGCGCAATGTAATTTCTACCTTAACACTTGCGTATTAAGGCTCAATGTCTTATGCTTTGCAGCTTAAGAAATCATTGAAGATGAAATTACAAAGTTATAACGTTTGAAAACATTAATATTTTTCACATGTTATTGCACATGAAGGCACTATATAATTTAAAAATCGAAAATAAATTGAAAAAATTTTCGACTCGGGCAGGACTTGAACCGGCATCGTCAGCTTTCCGTGCTGTTGCTCTACCAATTGAGCTACCGAGTCCTACACCTCATCGTCGAATTTTTTCAACTTATTGATACATGCACCTCTCGCGCAATGTAATTTCTACCTTAACACTTGCGTATTAAGGCTCAATGTCTTATGCTTTGCAGCTTAAGAAATCATTGAAGATGAAATTACAAAGTTATAACGTTTGAAAACATTAATATTTTTCACAAAAAAAAAAAAAAAAAAAAAAATTTTTTTTCAATTTATTTTCGATTTTTAAATTATATAGTGCCTTCATGTGCAATAACATGTGAAAAATATTAATGTTTTCAAACGTTATAACTTTGTAATTTCATCTTCAATGATTTCTTAAGCTGCAAAGCATAAGACATTGAGCCTTAATACGCAAGTGTTAAGGTAGAAATTACATTGCGCGAGAGGTGCATGTATCAATAAGTTGAAAAAATTCGACGATGAGGTGTAGGACTCGGTAGCTCAATTGGTAGAGCAACAGCACGGAAAGCTGACGATGCCGGTTCAAGTCCTGCCCGAGTCGAAAATTTTTTCAATTTATTTTCGATTTTTAAATTATATAGTGCCTTCATGTGCAATAACATGTGAAAAATATTAATGTTTTCAAACGTTATAACTTTGTAATTTCATCTTCAATGATTTCTTAAGCTGCAAAGCATAAGACATTGAGCCTTAATACGCAAGTGTTAAGGTAGAAATTACATTGCGCGAGAGGTGCATGTATCAATAAGTTGAAAAAATTCGACGATGAGGTGTAGGACTCGGTAGCTCAATTGGTAGAGCAACAGCACGGAAAGCTGACGATGCCGGTTCAAGTCCTGCCCGAGTCGAAAATTTTTTTCAATTTATTTTCGATTTTTAAATTACGTTATAAGTGTTTTATTTTAATAAGTATGTACATGGAACAAATAAATTTATCGGAAAAATAAATAGTGGTTTATCGATATTATAGTTTACCGATATTCGAGTGTATTGAGGTACATACCTATACCTATTCTACTACTTTTTAAATGTTGTTTAGTTGTCTGTAAACATTTCTTGCGTCATCACGTTCCTGCTAATTTTAGGAACTCGTAATTATCTCATTTTTTAGTGTCTTAGTTAGTTTTGTTCTTTCATTTCTCTAAATTGTTTTTATTTACTTTTTAGTTGGTTTCTTTTTTGTGCTTATTTAATTTGTGATATTTCGTGGTGTGTTAGTTTTATTTAAAATGCTTGCGTCGAATTTGTAACCAGCACGTGAGTATCTCATTATGTTAATTTATTTAGGTTTACTTTTGGTAATGCGAAAGAGGTGTTGAGAATTTACTGGAGAAGGTAGGGACCTCTCGTCTGCTGGCCGTCTAAGTTATGCAGTTTTAATTGCGGTTTTGCTATGGTGGTTTTGTCTTTCTTATTTATTTGAAGTTGTATTAAATGTATACTAAATACTTTTTTCGAATATTACAACTATACGCTAAGATGAAATAAAAAATACCTAACCTACTTAAATTGATCAGCTGTTCACGTAACGTTTTGCGGGTGTGTAGGTCATAATGCTTCTTGGCTGAACGCTGTACATTTCATACTCGAATTTTAAACTTTGAAATAAATAAAAATAAATAGCACCATATTACACCTTTTAGCCCCTAACATATGCCCTTATAAGTTTTCAAAACTGTTCCATTAACACCCTGTATAGTTCTCGTGATATACTATATACTAACATCATCATCGTAGCTTCTTTTATATTAAATCGTGGGCAAACGAGCAAGTGGCTTACCAGATGGAAAACGAGTTCCGCCGCCCATAGAAATACACCAAAGGTCTTGGAGATGCGTTACAAGCCCTTGTAATAGTTAAGTAATGCTCTTTAGTACATCATTTAGTGCGTCACTGAGCGCAAGAGGTGCTAAGTCGGGTAGGATACTATTGTACAACCTGTAAACACTCGATTGGTAAAGCGAACACAGCTGTGTATATTCTATACTATAGGATAAATAATAAAATAATAATAGAAAAAGGATTTCATACACAAATGATAACAACATCAATGCAGCTTCAGTATTTGTGTATAATTAAATTGAAATATTAATTGTATATCTTATACTTATCAAGTTATTGCTAAGGCAATCAGTTTGTTCATAAAATTTATTTTCATAAGAAAATTGTTCAAGAAGCAATACATATAAGTATTTGATTACTAAAGACTCGCTGTCGAAAATATTAATTGATTCCGCTCATTGTATCTTAATGGACAAGTTCGAATGAATAACAAAACATTCTGAAGTCCCCAAGGGGATGGCCAAGGCGTAAAATTGACATTTTAATAACCTTTGTTTCCACTTGGAATTAGATTGCAAAGTAATCACTGTTGTCTAACTTTTACGATAGATGGACTGCAGTGAGCCAAATATTATTGTTTGTTTATTAAAGTTGTATAGATTATCTTATTGTAGGTACAAATATAGATATGTATCTAATTAATAATGTGAATAGACTTAAACCTATATTTAAAAGACAATTTAGCTTTTTGCTGTCTTCGTAGGTAGCTTCATAGGTCTCCCCCAAAAATGTTCAATGTGTATCGCTCGCTAATTAAATTTAGCTATTCAGCGAATAAAAACAATTGTTTTCGAGATATTTTTAATAAGATTATTGTAATAATTATTATAAATATAGCCAACTATTTTTCTGACTTAAGCTGAAGACTTAGTGTGTTTGTTTAAACGCCGTAGTCTAATAGTTCGATTTGAGTTTATTTAATTACTTTTTTGTTTATTAAGAAAGACTTCAAACTATATAACGCTGTGACTAATAGAAGCGAAGATTGGAAGTAATGTGGAAATAATAGGGATTTGAGGGCTTCGTTGCGTGGGCTGCGAAAACGTTTTACGGAACCAAAAAATATGTGGGTACCTAGAATTCCTCTTTATCTAATAATATTTAAAGATTAACAATAACTGATATCGGTAAAATAAACATATGGTAATATAATTCGGTCGAAACTAATGCATCATTACTGATTATTCCTTAGAGTACAACATAACAACATTAATTGTGCAAACAACAAAACAACATTTGCCGGATCAGCTAGTATATTATAAAAAAGCTCACGCAATAATAATTGTTAGGTGGAGTGAGTATACCAATTATATGTGTAGCTAATTAAATAAGATAAAATCCATCTCTCGGGACCACATTTGAAATCGATAAATTACTCGATTCAAGCAAGGCGAGGGAGCGATAGATCAATCTCGACAAGTTCAAGCAAACTTTTTAGGGTTCCCTAATTTGATTATGGTCTTCAAAAGTGAAATTGTGATTTCGTAATTTATTTTTCAAATAAAAACAAAATGAAATACTGTCTGCAGTTTACGGGAGTACACATTAAAATAAAACACTTTAACGGTTTAAAACGCAATATATTGACCACGAGACTATCTGCTGCAAAACATTTGCAACATCGGGCCGGAGTATAAAATAATTTGTCAACATGTTTATATTACGCGTTTTAAACCGTTAAAACGTTTACCTCTTGCTTCTTGTTACATATAGTAATACAAAAATTTGTGTTGAAATATTTGGTATTCGTGTAACCCAACCTATTTAAAACATATGAATGGTTGGCACAATAAACATATTATAAAAGCGTTTTTTCTTATTTACTTATTTGCAGATAGTTCCTATGATACAAACCCGAAAACTATCGAATTACAAGACCTTATGTTTAAATTTTAACAGCATAAAAATTGTATTGAAGGACTTATTTAATTTCAGACACACTCTTGACAAAATATTTTCCCTTGAATCGGTGTTAACTGCTCCGAGGGAGTTAGTGAAAAACTTTTTTCTTTAATTTATAGCCTCATTGGTCCGAAAAGTTCCGTTAAACTTCCACTTCCATTTACTTTTAAATATTTATTTCACTTACAGAACAACACATTAATATTATATTATGTCAATAATATTAAACATTTTCGTATTTTACGTTATTTTGACAACGATTACGATATTATAAATATTATCTACATAAGGCATATTTTTTTGATAAGGTATAGATAATTTACTTAATAAAGGTGAAATACCCCTGCCGTATAACATCTCAACAAAATGTGTTGCCGACCTATTTAGGGCTTTGAATAATTGGAAATCGACAAACTTCACGGATTTTTAATCTCTCTTGTGCCCCGGGTAGAATTTCGATACTCCACCACCCATAAAAAAAATATGAAATGATTCAAAAAATGTTGGACCCGGTGGGGTTCGAAACCACGACCCCTATCAGCCAAGTTAACTTAATTAAAATAAACATTGCCGTAACTCTATCTATGTAGATATCTTCATTATTAATCGATGCAGTGATCTGTGTTCTGAAAAGTTATAATTTACAATTAGTACTTACATAAATTAAATATTTATTTAGAACAGCATTTTACGGGTTAATAATACATAATAATGTTTTTCTTTCAAATACTGACTAGATAGAATAGAGCCGCCTTTTGGTAAGCGCGATTTTTTGTTTTTTTTTCGTGTGACATGATAAAGAGGTCTGATAAACTACTCGCCAGTAGAAATAATCAATCATCCAGATTGACAGATGATTTTATGTCCCTTTGCCTCACTGCGTTACAATCAAAGGAAGCGGAAAATTATAACTATACTCACAACAGTCATCAGGCAATATACATCGGCTCAATTTTTCGTGGAAGACAAAACCAAGTTTACAGTCGCAACCATTATAGTGGCACCCAGATAGACACGTCTTATTCACGTCCCGGAAGTCAGAACAAGTGTTCCCGCAGTGGTTACTACAGCCGGAAGTTGCATTTTTGTCGCCGCCACATGATGCTGAAATTAAAAGATTCGATATTTAGTTTAAAAATTTTAGAAATATTGTCAACTAACATTTCTCCAATAAAGTAATTAAACGAGGCATAAATCGTTAAGTTTAACGTAAAGTAAGACTACAAATCAATTTTAGATTGAAAAAAAATACGACACGTGCGGGTCTTGAACCGGCATCCCCAGAGATCCGTAGTGTAGCCAAATGAGCTACCGTGTCGTGAATTTTATTCAATATTAAATCAATTTTTAATATATATAATGCCGTCATGTTAGAAAACACGTGAAGATCATTTTAAACGTTAAATAAGATATTTTCCTCCTTCATAAATTAGTTTTATATTGAATCTTAACACATTATATATCTTTTGCTTAAAACATGGTAACTTAAAAACAAATCTTAGCAATACATTTCTAATTTCCTTCAATTGTGGTGAGTGAAACCACAATCTACAGAGAGGAGCAAAAAATACAACGCTTTTCTGAATCTATACAACAAGTACTGGAAATTTATTGAACAAACGAAATTTAATGGACTTTTTGTAATGCGGAAGTTTCGTCTTATTTTAAAAGATATTCAAAGCGTAAATTTTATCTATACACTATTACTTAAACAAGATAGTTCGAAAGACAATGTAATTTGTTTTTGTTTACAACGGTTTTTTAGACACGAATAAAGTTTACGCGAAATAAATGGGCATCGTTACATCAAAGTTATGTAATAAAAGTTAAAGACGCTTTGATTAAAGAGGACAAAAATTATTTAGGTTTTGAAGTGTTCTATTGAACTATGTATGTTATACATAGTTCAATAAAACACTTTAACGGTTAAAAACACGGAATATATTCGTTCACCTTTTTTACTACGATCCGTCGTCTCAGCCCATAACCACAGTTGCTACAAAGCGTCTTAAACATCGGGCCGTAGTTAAAATTATTTTAAGCAAGTGTAACTAAAATATATCGCGTTTAAACCATTATAATGTTTTATTTAAACAAACATAGGTTTTACTTGAAAGATGTTTTGTTTGGAATTATATGACTAGTTGTTTACAATTTACGCGAGTAGTACACATTTAAATAAAACACTTTAACGGTTTAAAACGCGATATATTAGTTAAACTTATATGAAAATGATTTTTATCTTCGGCCCGACGTTTCGGATGCTTTGCAGCAGCCGTGATCACGGGGAGACCGCGTGCTGCAAAGCTGCTTTCAAATAAGTTTAACTGGTATATGGCGTTTAAAACTCTTAAAGTGTTTTATTTAAAAATGTATATCTTTTTTATATTTTTCAAATATTACCTACGGGGAGACCCGGTGACCACTGCTGCTGTAAAGCTGCTTTCAAATAAGTTTAACTAATATACCGCGTTTTATACCATAAAGGTGTTTTATATCTTCTTTTTATATATTTGATCTATTTTTTAATCAAGAGTAAACATTATGTCACTTGCAATGAAAAAGCAATATCGTTTCAAAGCAGCCAGTCCATAAAGTTCATTCACCAATTTAGTTTGAACTTTTCGCTATCTAGCTGGAATGAAATGAAAACAGCCAATGTTTAACCATCACATAGTGTATTCTTAAGCATCGCATAGGGAACCAACTTTTGTAGTGAGTTTTTTTTAGACCCATCGTTTATGACCCCAGAATAGTGCACCGTGAAATTGTTGAGTCCTGTGCCAAGAAACTTTTGTTTCCGCGAAGTTTAGCATTCTTGCTGTTACCGCAATCACTTACGAATAAAAAACGTATGATAAGCCTTGTATAACAATAAAAAAAAACAGTATTCCTTAACAATTTATAATAGAACTAGCTATGCCAGCGACTTCGTCCGCTAAGAATATTTGTTTTGGGTGTTTTTTGCAAACCCCTTCATCTTTATAAACTTGAACTGTTACCCACGAAGTCGGTCGCGTCCCTTCTCGTCGTTCTTGCAAGTAACTCTTAAAAAATAGACATTTAGCGCGGTGGACTTTTTTTTAGATCACTTAAAGAGGAATCAGTCTCTCATACATATTTTTTGGGTGTCTTGAACGTTTTTGCAGCGCACGCCTCGGTAACCCAAAATGATAAATAATTTTCCCAATTTTTTTCACATTTCCCGCTGTATCTTTGCTTGGCGTCACAGGGCGATGTTTTATAGCCTATAGCCTTCCTTGATAAATGTTCTAATCAATACAAAAATAATCAATTTTTCAATTCGAACCTGTACCTGAGATTAGCGCGACCAAACAAACAAACAAACTCTTCAGATTTATATGACGGCGCATCGCCGTTAAAGAGTGTCAAGAAACGTCAACTGTCACCTGACATTTGACAATGTCACTTTGACGGGGTGCCATTGACGTTTACGTCACTCTGACACAACTCCGGGCTCTTTTGTGTGTGATGAGGCAATAGGAAGAATCCGTTGACATCTCGCTTAAAACAAGGCGTGCCCGGTGGAGTGTCGTTACTAATTAAAATAACCATAGTGTAGATTATAATAGTGTCCATCTTTTGTTAATATCAATATTAGAACAGTTGATTCGAAAAGAAGTTTTAGTTCTCCTCGCCCGCCTACCCAATCGCTCGGCAACCATCAGAGACGATGATGACGGATGAGAATAATGATCATGTGCCTTTTTATATATTAGCAGATGTTCATACTTCATAGTTACCATTACTTAATCACTCATATAACTAGATATAAACTATAAATTTTACAGTTATGTAAATATAAACTTCTAAGTAGCTTCAAGGCTATAATTTAAATTCTTCTATATATATGATATTTAAATGATTTTACTTACGACACTCTTTCCTTGGAATACAGTTTCCCTCGTAATTTCGAAGGTACCCATCAACACACACGCACTTTGCTCTGCAGACACTGCTTCCTCTGCATGGTGCTGGGAAGCCGAGCTGGTCACATCTCTCGGGACCACAGTGGAAACATTCTACATGCATCTCATTCTCTTCACAAGGTGACCGTTTGAATACTAAGAAGATACAAATGATAAATAGATTGGTTGGTGTTAGTTAGTTTGGTGATTTAAAAATCTATTTAGAATGAAAAAAAACAGCTCAATTGGTTAGATCAGCAGCACGGGTAGCTGTAGAGGCCGATTCAAGTCTCGCCCGTGTCGTCTAAGTTTTTTCAATACGAATCGATTTTTAGTATTAACTGAATTTATAGTGTAAATTCTACAGTTTAGGGGAATAGTTTTTTAATAAATTACTTTTAATGGCTTAAAACGCGAAATATAATGGTTAATTTATTTACAATTCATTTTAACAAGTTTTTATTACATCTATTTATAGTTATTCATATTTAGTTATTTATAGATATTCAAGAAGAAACTAAAAAAGCGAATTTTCTGACAGTTGGCGTTCTTCTTGAAGATAATAATTGGATATAAAAATACAATTTCTTTGTGGAATCGGAAACATTGACTTCAATAATAAATTGAGCTTAAAATATTCGTTCCGTAATCTCAAACGGAATGCACAATTGTTCCGTAAACCGTAAATACGTGCCATACACATCTACCTTTGTGCTGAAATTATCTGCTGAACTCCGTTCAAGAAACTATCTGGGCCCTACGACTTCACCTGTGCTTGAGACTAAGCCAACACTTTGAAACTGAGTTTAAGTTCTCTTAAGACATTTCAAAGGGGGTTGGGTTGAAATAATACAAGTTAATACTCCAACTACAATCTTATTAATATAGTAAGTGCCTTCTATGACACGTTATTTATGTGTCCTAACGACATCAATAAGTTCTTTATGAAAAGAGTTTGAACCGCTATTCTCAAGGGCTACTGGTTCGAATTGACAATTTTATTTGTTAGTTGGAACATCTGTTGAGAAAGGCTTAAGCTATAAACCAACATGCCGCGACTAATACAAGTGAAGAAACAAGGAAAGAAGAAAATGTAAAAAATTACGGTGCGTACGTTCAATATCGCAAGAAATATCTATAAATAAATTATGCCTCTTTAAACAATCTATAAGTGTCCATTTTTTAAGATTAACTTACTGTTTTTATAAAGTTTATAACAAAATTTTGATCAAAATTCTTAATACGTGTGGTATACAATTTTATACTATACCTCCAGTATTGACGCTGTAAATCCAAAATATTATGATGAGGAGTAATTTCTCCATAATAATTACGTACTTATTATTTAACAAGAGTAACAGCACAACATACACGAGACGCTAAACACCTACTAGAAGGAAACCATTGCATCTGCAAAATGACACCTCAAAATTTGCATGAATCAAGGTTTCACAGCATTATCCTCAATGAGTTTTCTACATATGTTACTACTTAACAGCGTCGATAATTAATCATTTATACAATGGTCAATTTTTTATTTAATACTTTGAGATCCCACTTTACTTGTTTTAGTAAATGTTTTAATTAAAAAATTGATTAGGCTATGTGTATGTAAGCCATCGGTGTCTCATAGTATTAGATGTTTTTCTCGAGAGGGTGTTGAGACGAATTTGTATTGTAATATTAAAATATTATTAATAAACAGTCATTTAAAACAAATTTTTATTACTCAAAAATATTTCATACATATATCAGTTTCGAGTCGATACATACAGACTTTTAGACAGCAAACAATGTATAGCTTAAATACAAAACATTGATTTGGAGTTCAAAATTCATTCAATAATTTATCTTCTGTTTCAAACCGTCGGACATGATTTATGTGATAATAATATTAAACAATTTATTGCATAAATATATAATATATAAAAACTAATTTACATAAAAAGATAGTACAGAGGCGGCTGTATCGTCTGTGGCTATATCTTTCAGATACCTTTGTTCCCAGGATATAAAAAGGAACAATCAAGGAAGAAAGGTCAACTCAAAGAAAAGTAAAAAATTATAACTTAATAATAACAACCTACCTAACAAAAATTGTATACACACAGAATAAAACTTAAAAACAATTTAATGTACGGAGTAACAAACACATAATTAATAAAATTAGACTAATCCAGGCCCCATACTACAACATATATACAACATAAGAAATACCTTCATTTATTCAATAGTATTCGAAAAGCGTTCAACTTTGAAGGTTAATTTGATTCGAGATACAATCAGAAAAGTTATGTATTTAAAAACAGGCTTATCACGTGCTCTCATTCGTTATTTATTCAAGATGGTGTTTTAAAACCTGTGGCCTTACCACAAGTTAAGACGCATACAAAAATAGGTTAGAAATAGTTCGATACAAAATCGATGTGACACTATGGTATGAAGTAAAGTTTCTTTTATTTCATTCCATTTTCCTGAGTAATTATGTATTCTATGTTCTTTAGAATACATAATTACTCACATTGTATATTTGTTTGTATATTTATAATATTGAATATGACCTAGTAATGAAGTGTACTTAAAACTTATTACTAACTAGCGATCCGCCCGGGCATCGCTCGGGTGCAATGCTGACACTAAATACACTACAGAAAAACTGTGAACGTTGTATATAAAAACCTTCCTCTTTAATTACTCTATCTATTAAAAACCGCAACAAAATCTGTAGCGTAGTTTTAAAGATTTAAGCGTACATAGGGACAGAAAAAGCGACTTTGTTTTTGTAGGTAGTGATTATACTGTCTATAGTTTACGCGAGTAGTACACATTTCAATAAAACACTTTAACGGTTTAAAACGCGATATATTAGTTAAACTTATTTGGAAATGATTTTTAACTTCGGCCCGACGTTTCGGATGCTTTGCAGCAGCCGTGGTCACAGGGAAACGTCGGGCCGAAGTTAAAAATCATTTCCAAATAAGTTTAACTAATATATCGCGTTTTAAACCGTACTTATTACATCGCGTACTTATTACAAACAGCAAGAAGTAAATACTAACAATGGAATCACGAGTCTGTCTCATTAGTGCCATTTATTTTATCGTGAAGAGCTACAATGTAAAGCTAATTAGTTTGTTTCATTAAGATCTACTACTTTAAGCCAATACAGAAGTCATTACTGAATACTTATTACGAACAGTTTTCTTAGAAAGTATTTTTGATTTCAAATGCTTTTAACAAATTCGATTTGTTTTCACGGTCACTCATAATGTGTAGGCAGTATTTTGTTTATAATATATGTTCGTAACTGGTAACTCTATGAGTTTAATAAAAGATACCTGGTTTCCAAAATATCTCCAATGTAAGATACGAAATCACTTGTGGTATTGGATTGAAATTAATTTTTTTTTTCTGAGAGCAGATGACGGGCATTCATGAAGTTTACTTGGTGAAAGGTAATATGGGGTAATTATTAGCCAAATAATATTTCAACTAAATACCGCTTGTAGTTTCCGCGAGTAGTACACATTCACACTGTTGTAACAGTCACAGCTGTTGCAATGCATCCGAAACGTCGGGCCTTAGCCAAAATAATTTCCAAGTGTAAGGAATATATGTCGGGTTTGAAACCGTTAAAATGTTTTATTTAAATATCTTACCTAGATGTACTCACTTAATTTGGATTTAAGCATTCGAAACTCCACTGCAAGTCCTCCAAACCCACATTCAGGAATTTCGATATCCCATCATCTATTTATTTAGCATCTATATTTTCCAGACAAATCAATGTATCATTTTTCTGAAACATTGCATTTTTTGCATTATGGAAATATATAGACCTGATGGACTTATAACAACGTTCATCTTAAGACAAGAAAATATAAAAATTTAAGCGGGATAGCAACGTCCAATAGAAACAATTATAAGATATCCCTGAATCCCAGAATGTTTACAGTAAAGGCCAATATTTCTTAGCCATAAAATAATATAAACAATGTTCGTATGCGAAGGTAAATCCTATAAAGTTGTATCCGGGTACGCTTTAGCGCTTTACCCGGCATCGTCCAATTTTCTTTAGATGTTTCTGTTTTCTTTCAACCTCCAACGGATTTTCAACGAAATCCTCTTATCCTATTTACTTGTCTAGACGATAAATTCTAAATCGCTCTATGTTTACAAAAATGTTGAAATATATATTACATTGCTTCGATACGAAATTACGAATTATACGCACCCCATTATCGACAAATGACGAAAAGTGTAATCGGAAATGTCGATATTACCAGCTGAACTATTGGCAGGAGAGACTGTTAGTTATAATTAAAAAATCTAAGAATTTATCTATGGATATAGTTAAATTGAATTAAAATTCAATTAAAAATAGAATCTGTCTAATGATTAATATGCTTTTAAAAGATTAGCAAATAGTGTGAAACTATTATATATAGTAACTTTGTAAAACAATCGTAATAGAGTTCAAATAATCTTTTTACATCCATACTAATATTACAATTGTGTCTTTCTGTATGTTTGCACGGAGCATCAATTAGACGTGATTTTTTTTAATTTGAGTTAGTGATAAGATAGATAAAGATTATATAAGGGTATATATTTGGGATAGTAGTGACATAGGGTAAGGGTTCTAACTTCCTACATCCATAGAGAGCTAAAAATTAATAAGCAACATTTGTAACTAAACAGTACTTACGACTAAATATCGTTCACCATTTTTAGCGACGGGTACCCTACGGATAAAACCAAGTAATTAGAAAAAAATTTTACTGTTTAGTACAATTTTTTTTAATTATTATTAATTCGTTCGCTTTCCCAATTACTGATGTAATAGTTTTGTTTGAAACAAAGCGAAATCGCTGATTATTCGTTAAATACAAATTAATTAATAGTCTGTGAGATTAAAGCTTTCAATTTGAGTATAATTGACCACTGTGATCAGTGCTGATACATTAACTGCTTTTTCATTTAAATTCCACGGTCAGACGCTGAAGAAAATTAATCAAAATTACCATTCAAGTTGTTTTATTTCAGTAAATCCCTTTTTATTTCGACTTTTCTTTTAATGTGCTGAATTAACTAGCCGTATTGGATGTATGCCTAACATATACAGTAATATATGCATTTTTAACTTTAATAAAAGTATATGTACGTGTCGTATTAGCTCTATTTTGTATTAATTTATAAAAAAAATTTAAACTGTAATCCTTTTTACCTCCATAAAGAATTGAGTAAATATCCGTGCCCTGTCCGACCGAAATTTATTGTTTTTGCAGGATTTCAATGTAGGATCTTTCACGCTTAATGTTATGCATTTTTCTAAAGAGGCGGTCCGAAAATTATTGTAAATTATAGTTATAAAAAAGCGACAAAAAAATTACAGTAATGTTTTAATGACAGCGGACGACAGACAAGTAGGGTCAGGGTTCAGTTAACGGTAAGTGATAACCCCTAGCCTTGGATATTTGGAAATCCGCAGAATAAAATCGAAACGCGATTAAACATGGCGACTTTGTCGCCAGACGGTGGTTTGGACGAAATTTCGATAATTCAACCTCCCAGACAAAGTCCAACTGTTTCTGAAAAAAAGTACAAATTGAATACAGTATTATATATACTCTGAGCTAATACGTAGCGTAGTTTTACGAGTAAGTAGATCGTAAAATGATATTCATCCAGTTAAGTAGAGCATAGTTACAAAGTTTAATATAAACGCTTTACATGGACTAAGTCAATATATCTCGGTCCGGCGAGGCTAAGTTTGAAGTAATAATGCTTTGGCTGGATGTTATTAAAATGTATGCCCATACATAAGTAAAGGATTTGATGTTTGTTAAAACATTCTGTAAATGCATATGTATCACAAAGAGAGAAACGGTAAAATTGTCGATACACATTTTAAAACATATGGCTAACTAGAATCAATAACCTAGGTACGGACATACGTACCAGGTCCTGATTTAATTGCACTATTATTGTGGCGCGTCGGTCTGTATTAGGATTTAAGGGCGCCCAAATGAGAGGGAAAATAATTATAACAAGATACAAAAGGGTCGGTATTTGACTTCCGTCTCCACGTTATATGCGCACTGAACTTATAGTTTTGTATTACTTTTAAAATCCTTTACTACTTTTTGGCAGTCACAAAAACTTTATTAAAAACTGTACGTAATCAACTCTCACGAAACAAATGCGCAAATTATTTCTTTATTCCAAGCAGCATATGCCAGTAAAATTAAACAAATTAAGACAACAATGTGATACTTGCTTGATCGACGAGCTCGTTGGTGTAATGATAGCAATCTATAGCCCATAATAAGGAACAGGTCGTGGGTTCGGTCCCCACCGGATCCAACATATTCCAAGATCAAAGAAACCCCATGTAAGTTTATCCTCTTTTATATAAAAAAAAACTTGCTTGCTGGTGCTAAATTGTAGGTAAAAAAACAAGATTGAGTTACGATAGTTTTCTACCTAGCTGCGCGTTGTTAGATTGTTATCAGTTACACAAATGACTTAAACTATTAATTACTGTGATAAATTTAATGTTTACAAAAAGACAAATCGGCTTCAATCCTAACACAAACTCTTAAGAACGCAAACGCCCATCGAATTTTTCAGGTACCCCTCGTTACAATTGCAGCCTGTCCTGCAAGGTCCCGGTATGCAGGGGCGTCCGTTGGATTTGTAGTTGCATGCTTGTGGAGGGCAGAACCTCACGCATGGTGTAGGCGAAGAATTCTGATCGCATTTTTCTTCAACTGAAACAATATGGGAAAATAATATTATCTGTTATTCACATTTGAGTGCACAAATGTAACTAAAACAGAAGTGGTATAGTACAAAATAAACTATATGCAAAGATATAAAGAATTTTTGTATTTTTGTTCTTTTATTTTTTTTATACAGTAGGTAAATCTTACGCATCATAACTTTTGCTCCATAATAACTTATAGTGTACTTACAAGCTCAACTAAACAATAATTTTATTGTATTATATACTTTAGTTGGTTTGCACGCACGTAGGTACTTAGCAAGCAAGTTGTGTTTTAAATTAAAAATTTATCTTTTAAGTAGCATTTACCTTTGTGACTGAACTAAGTAATAAAATATATTGATTTTAATTACTGTCTATAGTTTATGCGAGTAGTATACATTTAAATAAAACACTTTAACGGTTTAGTGTGAATGCGGAGTCTCCCCATGACCACGGCTGCTGCAAAGCATCAATAACGTCAGGCCGAAGTTAAAAATCATTTTCAAATAAGTTTAACGAATATATCGCGTTTTAAACCGTTAAAGTGTTTCATTTATATAAATTGATTTTCCTAAATTTATTTTCATTTTTAATGCATTAACAATATTTTGTGACTTAATTTACATCCGATCTCGCGAATTTCAAATTATTATCGAATTATACCGTACCGTATTAAATTATATCGTGTTACTATCAATTTCATTTTACTGTTATGCTTAGTAGTAAACACACCTGCATTAACAAATGTAGCTGTTGCCCAGAAAAATATTAAAACAAAACACACAAACTTCACTTCTTCATACATTGTTATCTGTCTGAGGTGCACGAAGTCATGACATTTATAACACGCTTGACTATTATTAACATAACTAGACATCTTGTCAACAACTAGTGGCTCCATCTGTATGGAATCAATGTGATTCCTTACAAGTTGAGAGCGACTAGAATTATGTATTTATATAGTGAAGTAAATCAGTTTTGATTATTATATTATATATTTCCTTAATCCCCTCAATATGGGTATCAAATGAAAGGGCTAGTAAAAAACTAGTAAAACACGATGATTGTATTTTAATTTTAAATTTTTTGTTGTTTTTAGTCCACAAAAAATAAAACCCTTTAACTTAAAAAAAATTAAGTAGATACTTGTTTGAAAAGCAAAGTAAAACAACTCGGAATGTTTCAATTTTGTACATCCCATACAACACAACATACTCGACATACATTTTTGAGGTCGGGATTTCGATTCTCAATCTGCAAAATAAAAAAAAAACGCCGGTAAAAACCAAGCATGTCTTCAAGCTCGACTTGTTTCATTTGCGAACTGTCTTTTATCTTTAATAGTTGTTTAGTAGTAGCAGGGTTATTTTAGTATTTTGTCCCAGTTCAGGGTACAGTAAGAAAACCTGATAATAACTTGCCCTAGCTGATTGGCAGTACTATAAAAAAAAATCCATTCCAGTACGTATGATTAAAGTCTGAAGCTGAGCCGCCATTGAAAACAGTTTAAAATAACGTCGCTAAAATAAATCATTGCTAAGCAGAGTTCAGTCGTAGGTACATGAGACTGAAAAGTGGAAATAAAGCCAGGCTTCCCGGGAAATGCTGGGCTTACGCGAATCCGCGGGAAACAGGATCGCAATGCGGAGTAAGTCGTCTAAGAAAATTCCTACCTATGTTGAAAAACTATTTTCGTATTGACATACATTGCTCGCATAGTTCACTTAGTTTTCTTTGGGCTTGTTAGCCGAGTTTGTGAGATATTTTTTTCTAATATGTTGTTCTACCTTTTTTCAACGCTCGAGATTCGAAGTTGTATTAAGAATACGTAGTTTAGACCGCGAGAGTCAGTTTCGAATCCCAGGGTGTTTCTTAATATAAATTGTTTAAGTCGGGCAGGGCACAGAAATCTACTTTCTCGTAAATTTCTGTGCCCAGAATTGATCAGTTTTATCAATGAAAAGCGGGCATGGATCGGGGCGAACTAATTTTTGTGTTCGCCCCGATTCATGCCCGCTTTTCATTGATAAAACTGATCTTAATTTAAGTCGAATGTAAAAGATTTAATATGAAAATGTGTTAAAGTTACGTTATACCTTTTTTCCCCGTCTCCCCACATAACCAGAAACGAAGAGAGTATCTATGTCCTATATATTTTTACCACTCAACGATACACCTTAGAGTGGGACATTATTTATTGACGGGGGTCATGAGAACATTTCACCCTTAAATAGATTTAAGAGGTCCCTTTTAGAGGACAAATGCTACAAACCCGGCCCTCATATTAATTAATGTCCTGTAGACCAGTAGACGGCTTAAAATATTCATAAACACGTAAAATGTGTAAAGATTTATTTTTCACACCTATTCTATCATCAGCCTAACGATTCTCTGGGACTGGGGTCTCCTATATTTTGAATTACCACACTAAATACTGTCTCTGTAGTTTTCCGCGAGTAGTACAAATTTAAATAAAACAATATTACGGTTAAAACGCAATATATATTAGTTAAACGTCGGACGGTAGTTTAAATAATGTAACGAATATATATCGCGTTTTAAACCGTTAAAGAGTTTTATTTAAATTACCACACAGATTAATTGCGTATTGTGAACATACTGCTTTTTCGATTCTAAGACAACTTATCATTACAGTGGACTAAAGCATTTGGTTTGCGACAAAGAATTGATCGCCTAAACTGAATTCGGTTGTACACGATACTAACTCAGAACATAAATTGATATATCTTTTACATGCTAAGAAGAAGCTGTGTTTGTTGATAGTACATACTACAAGTTGTAAGATGTAACATCTATTTTCCTATTAAGACAGAATAAATATTTTAGACGAACTAGTTAAACATCTAACAAATAAATTATTGGATGACTGTGCTCTATCGAATTTAATAACAGAAATGTTGGTTGACGTTGTTATTATATTACTTGTATGCTTATGCGGTCAGGGAAGACAGTGTGAAACAAAACTTCCTGTTATATAAACAGTTATAACTTATAAGTTATTTATTTTGCACCTGACTGCAAAGATAACGTCTAGACGTTATCTTTGCAGTCAGTCAAAGATCCGGGCCAAGATATGCAAAAATCAATTTCAAAAGTATTTCGCATGTTAAAAATGTTTTATCAAATTATTTGCGAATAGACAATACTTAAATAACAATAAATGGATTTAAAAATCAAAAATAAATTGAAAAAATTTTCGACTCGGGCAGGACTTGAACCGGCATCGTCAACGTTCCGCGCTGTTGCTCTCATGTGCAATAACATGTAAAAATTAATAAAGTTTTCAAATAAATGGACTGTTCGCTTTTGACTTTTAAAAACGAAGAGCAACAGCGCGGAACGCTGACGATGCCGATTCAAGTCGTGCCCGAGTCGATTTTTTTTGAATTTTTTTTTCGATTTTTAAATTATATAGTGCCATCAAGTGAATAATATCAAAGTTAGTAACCGCACCAGTGTAGACATAATATATCGATAAAAACGATAGACAAATTATGTCGAGCGTGCGTACTAAACCGGTAGAGTTCGAGAACCTCAAAGTATCAGACAAAGTTACTGCCGGTAACTGTGGGCAATCTGTTATTTTATGCTAAGGGAAAAATTACTTTCTATTTGCTCAAAATGAAAAAGTTTCCGCAGACTTCTGATTTGATTGGCTCCATTTCAGTTGTTTTTACGAAATAATTCGTATGAAATATTATGTTAACGTTATGAAAACGTTTATTGGAAGGTTTAAATGGTTTTATTTTATATATCTATACTAAAACAAACTCTTCAGCTTTATATTATGATGTAGGTTAGTGAAATAAAAAATGCAATTCACAAGCAATATTAAAACTCACGCAGACGAGCAATAAATCTCTTAAAAACATTTAATTTTACAACACACTTCTGACATTTCAGTAATTTCACGTGATGTAGAACTCGCTAGAGGCAGCGATACAAAGAGATATTAAATTTAAAAATGTACGTCGGCAAATTGCTACCAGCGCGTTGTGGGGTATCTGAAAAAATATAATTAGGCCGCGCATACACGAACGACTTAAACCGTGGTTGTATAGTTATAAAAAAAAAACAATAATTCACTGAGTAAAAAACTAAACAATTTAATACTTGAATTATTTTTTTTATTACATAATTATTCTATTGCATTTCTCATAAACAATATGTATTATTGCTAGCTAGACAAACATTTTAATGATTAAAAACCAAATCTTCTTAGGTTTGATTTGATGAATAATTCTGCGACTATAAGTCGAGGTCGTATGATTTACTATTTGGAAGCTTACCGACAAAAGAATTCACTCGTTGCGGTTTTTAAATTGTCAGAAACCATTGTCCGTCCGCGTGAACACAAAACATTTTTCATACAATCAATTTTTTGTTGCTCAATTTTTCAGTCATTTGAAGCCGACGTGCTTTTGTTTCTCTTGTATTTTATAAACGTACATTTTAGGTAGTCAATTAATTGTTTCTTTGTCTAGACGTCGTATATTCAATCAATGTTTAATTTGAGGACGTGCGTCATAACTTCTTTTATGATAAAAATGACAGACAAACATCGCGTTCATTTGATGGAAGGTGAAGTATATCAGCCATATAGTCAAATTTATAGGTAACTTTGGTAAGGTACACTTATGAACGTCACAAAAGTAAAGAATCTATCTTTACATTTACTACCAGTTCTCAAATCAAGGGCGCAGAACGAATAAGAAGAGCTGGCAATAAACTCACCGTTCATTTTCTTTAATATAACTATCAGCCATGTACATGGGTAAATAGCGCATCTTGTAAAGATTTACCTATTTTTGTACTAAAACGGGAACTTGATTAAAATTCACTGCTTCTCCATCTGTGAACGATGTTTTGACCCAGACGGAATTTACTATATTATTAACCAAAAACCACTGTTTTTAGTTTTGGTTCTAAGTCCTCTATCATATACTACGTGCATACCATATGTATTATTATTATTATTTTCTATCGGGGACACCTTCGGCAGGACGGGTGATCAGTCCACGTTGTCCGCTGACCATTTCACCCATTTCCCCATTTCCTCCTTGCAGAGATTTGGGTCATCCAACTCTTATACCATATGTAAAGAAAACAGGTCCACTATTAAAAATGAATTTATTAAAAAATTAAACAATCTTATTCTTCTCTTATTAATATCAATATATTACAAAAGATCTACATTTCAATGAAGAAACAAGATAAAATTTACAAAATACCTTTACAATTTCTCTACAAGGTAACATTAAAAAACTTAGCCAATTCAATAAATATATTGTTATAATAGATTTAGATATCAAAATCGTTTGGCACAAATCACTACGGAGCCTGATTCACAGGAGAAAATGAGCATTTCATTATTATAATCATTATTTTATTTTCTACCTAAACTTTTAACTGGCACAAAATTCGTACACTTACAGCTACATTCAGAATTACTAAACATATCAAGAATAAGACGTTATTTTTTTATACTTCTAACTCCTGATCGTGTTTCTGAGTGTAACCATTAGATTTCAGATGTAAACATAATATATACTCATACATATCATAACCCTATTTTTGTTCAAATACACTTAGAAAGAAACTAGAAAGAATTAGCAACCGAGAGTTGGTTATATATAAACTAGAAACAATTCAATTCATAAAATAATACATTTTAGAGTAAACTGACGCTTATTGATATTTCATCGAAAAATATAGATAACAGGGTGTATCGAAAAATATCTGAGATCCAAAATATTATGTATGGATTTATTAAAAAAAAATGGCCATTTAAAATTATCTAGATTAGATAAGGGAACTATTATAAAATACACAAAAACAGTAGCTGGCAAGGAATGGAAGCTTTCACCTCATTATTAACAACATCTTATTTACACATTTGTACCTCTCTCAGGTACAGAAAAGTACAATGCCATTATTTACAACAGTCATTATTATGCACAATTATTGGACTAGCCCTCGCTAAATACACATCTAGAAATTCGATATTCACATTAATATATTATATGTATTTGAAGCACTTCAGTCGTAGAATATATTCGTTGAACACATAAGTACACTTTAAGGGACGGAATTCATCACTTTGTTCACAATTTTTTTAGTAACACTTATAACTCTGTCGTGGTTTCCACAGGAGACTGGTCGTATGAATAACCAGTGAAGTTTCTTTTGCCAAACGTAACGTTTTCGTTATCCGTGGCTCTGAAACATAAGGTATAACATTATTAAGGTTAAACTTATTTGAACCCTATATTACTATACTCTTAAGAATTAAGTGCCTTGCATTACTGCTGTCAATCTTACCTTTAATAATAGTTTTACAAAATAAAATATGTTGCCAATTATAAAAACTATATAAGATACAGAGAACCATCGTGATTTTTTTGAAGTGGAAGTTATGAAAAGTTTATTTTGGAATTGATTGAAATGTGGTCAATTTGGTTACATATAAAATTTGAAATGTTATGAGTAAAATCCCCAAAAAAAATCATGTACATTAACCAAAGTCAGTTTTTTTTGTACTTTTTCCATATATCTCACTATATTATATTAATTATAGTAGTGAAAAATAAATATATTCTCTTCTAGATTAATTATAAATAGCACCATTACCTTTGCAATCCTGGTATCTCATCGTACGCCATGATCGGCTGAGTCGTTTTCTTCTTGTGATTGTTTCCATTTATCTTCCTTCCCAGCGTCGTAGCTAGCAGCCCGTGTCCAATATTATTATTATTGACTCTCGGTAACGTCCCGATGGCATTGTTCAAAGGGTGGCTGTTGTGTGTCCGTCGGTTTAGTGTTTGCGTGTTGCGAACTGCGTTGTCGTAGTTAGTCATGTTGTTGAGGGTTCCGCCATTTTCATTAACACTAGATGCGCGCGCGGTGGTCGCTGTTTCGGATATCGTTGGACTTCTTTCACCTGAAGTTACAAATTGATAGTCATTAATAATGGAATAGCTAACAAAACCAGATCGAAAATATGTTGTCAGGTATAAACATTACTTTAGACTAAAATAATTGATGATACAAGCTAGTCGAAACGATAAGACGTTACGGATTGAGTGTTGTACTTTACTGTACTTTGCTTGTACCTTATGGATTGAGCTATGTTTGGTTTAATAATAAAAATGAAACTTTTTTATTCGGACAATTAGAAGACCAACTCTTTGTACAAGTGAGCTGCCTGCTTCCATGTAAATTGTAGTGATTAAATCACCAGGTTTCTTCAATATTTTTAGAGTAATATGAGCAGGGTTCGTCTATTTAAAAGCCAGTATTATTTGATATTATAAGCAGCATACGTAATAAATAATACTGATGTATATAATATCTTTTATCGTTCATGAATGTTTTACGATAGAAAGATTAGTATGTCTTCTATATATATTGAGTAGCTTAAGGTTTGAAGTGTAAATACATGTAATATACACTAGTTTTGAATGATATTTATCTACAATGTTATGGTCTTAGTCTATATAATTATGTCGAATACGTGATATTAGTTAAAGGCACAGTTTACCTAGAACGTAACAGTATCGTCCTGTTCTTGCTAATCTGTCATACACTGTTTAAAAGAGTAAATATTATATATAAGTTCTTTTTCATAAAACATGAAAAAACTAAATATATTTAGCCGTATTACGTGCGAAATTACGTATATTAAATGTGAAAATTTTACCGACCAGTAAGTCCTTGTTCATCTTTTGTTGTGGATACAATAGTGATCTATTTTTTACCAAGATGACAAGGATCCGAATCAACCCATCTGTTTGAACGTGTTAAAGAAACAACCTTCCGTTCTAAATCTCAATATAAGTATTATTAGTAAGGTATATATAAGATTCCGTACCATTATCTTTTGATAAATATTGGACGTTGTGAATGTTGAAAGCGTGGTTGTTAGGACTGAAATCCAGTTGTAAGTCTGCATCGTCGACGGCCATGTTTAAAACCTATAAAACATCAAAGTTTCTAATCAGTCACATCTAATAGACATATTTATGAAAGATGTGGACGGACAACCTTGGGATTCACTTGATGTTAGGTGAATTACCTAAGCCATATAAAATCTCAACAAAATGTCCTGTCAACCGATTTTGATTCTATCATCCATTTAATATCCAGATTTCCAGAATTAAAACATGTTTCAGAAAAATTATAAATTGATTGGAAACTCGTTGGACCTGCTGGGGATCGAATCCACGACCCGTTGATTATTGCTGTACATTGCTATTATTACACCAACAAGGCAAAAATAAAAATAATAAATCAATATGCTATTTGTACCTGGGTCTCGTATCGTGGTGCTGGATCATCTTCGCTGGATTCATAACCAGAAGGTGGTCTCGGTGGCGCCATACTCAGACTTAGAGTACCATACTGCTGTTGTAGAGCTTGTTCCTTGTGTTTTTTGTACCTGTAGATTAGATTTAACGGTTTTGGTTTTAGACATTTATTAAAGAATGTACACATTCACTTTAGTAAGTTAACTAAATATTACATTGAAATTGAAATTTGGGCAGTATTTTTATTAAACACAACTATAAAAAGAAGGTAGTTATGTTATCACAGTATTATTATCTAGCTTTGGCGTTGTCGGCGCGAACGCAGGTGATCGAGTAAACATACAAAGATAAGCGATACTAGATGGTGCATTCGCACATCACATTAAGTTTATTATATTGTGTATTATTTTATTTTGTGTTATATATTATCCAGATGTTTTTATAAGTATATCAATGTTTTTCGGGCTGTTTGAGCGAGAAGAGGTTCTCGACGCTTCGCCATCACGAGCGTAGGGCTTCATGAGGTGATGTTAGAGTCGGCAAAACAATGATATGCTGAACGATGGCTGTAAAAGCCTTACAATTTATTTTTTATAAGTGTTTAAATTATATATTTAAAAAAAACAAGCAAAGACGAAATCTAATAAAATAGGAAAATTGATTAACAATCTATTTGGATTGAGTAAATGTTATGGCATATTAATAGGAAAGAACGAAAAATGTACCGATTCCAAGAAGCGCAGATATAGACTGTAGCAGCGGTAGCAGCAACCAGGACAAGTGCAGCTAAAGCCAGTAATGCAGCTGGTAACGCTGTGGTAAGCGGGGCTGCTGCAATGTGAGTTCTTCGCGGTGGTTCTGCTGGAACTAATGGTGCTTGGACGTGTACTCCTGCGTCTATTGCCCTGAAAAATAGAAATAAAAGTCATGTTTTTTTTTAGGTGACAACACTGACCGAGGGTATAAAACTTTCAATGATGTCCGGTTAACTTCGAAAATAGTAATTTCTAGAATAGCAGAATATCAAAATATTTAATATAAATAACCATTTAAAAAGCGAAAAAAGATTTTTTTTTTTTAATATTAATGTTTTCAAACATAAATAACCATATTGTTCTTACGCAAATATAAATAAAAAAAAACACTTACTAACAGTGTTTCATATGAGTATTTTTAACGTGAGTACGTATGATTAAATACTGTCTGTAGTTTACGCGAGTAGTACAAATTCAAATAAAACACTTTATAATTATTGCATCGTTTATTACTTAAACTTTTTTTAACTACGGCCCAACGTTTCGGAAGCTATACAGCAGCCCTGGCCAAGGCGGGACAAAGCACCCGAAACCTCGGGCCGTAGTAAAAATAATTTTCAAATAAGTTTAACTAATATATATCGCATTTTAAACGGTTAAGTGTTCAAATACGTATGAGTACGTTACTATACATTTTTTATAATTTGAGGCTAGTTCTGGAAATGAGTTTAGTCGATTATACAATAGTAAATTTAGTAATAAGGAAAAGAAGACACAACTTACTTCTTGACTGGTTGAGATTCTCTAGTCAATATCTGCCCACTATTAGGATCAAGCAAGTACAGCCACACATCTGTGCCGTTCAAGTCGCTTTCGAGTGTTCCATTTTCTCCTAAATACAATTTGGGAGTGAGTTTCTCGAGACCGGCGTACAAGCCGCTCTTTCCCTCAATATCAACTAGAAGATTGCGTGCTTTAAGGGCTGACATCGCGTTGAGGTTTAGATCAGGTACTTCTAGGATCAATTGGTTATCTTTTTGGAGTAAATTAATCTGAAAATAATTGTTTTATTGATTTTTCTGGTGATAGAAAATCTATATTTCTGTATCTGTTTACTGATCGGATCATTTATCGGACTTCTATGCCCCACGCGGCCAAAACAGTCTATTGTTCCCCCGGGATTACATAACATCGGTCAAGAGAGCTCGAGAGAGATGTAGATTGATCAGACGCAATGTTAAGGTGATACAGGAAGATTCAAGAAATGTTTTCTTTTGAAAGGAAATACTATTTACTTCGATTAAGGTACACAATAATGCTATTAAATTAAATTACCACAACAGAAGCTCTCGCAGTCTTGTAATCTTCGGACTTGGGATTATCTCTTGCCATTACATTGAATTTGAAAGGCAGGACTTCTTTGGGTACATTTTCGAATGTTTTAATATTAGAAATTACACCGGTTTCTTTGTCTAGCGTAAAATACTCTTCAGCTACCTTGGTCCAAGAGTTCTTACGATATTCCACTTTTCCGAAGTCCCCACTGTCTTTGTCTTTCGCCTGTAATTAGAAAGAGACAAATGGATTATACGCAAGGTTGTCTCATAAAATATTTCGCGTTTTAAACCGATAAAAGTATTTTTATTCTAGTAATATTACAAAACAAACTTTTTCTTAATAACTAACCTGAAGTGTTTGAAAGAGCTTATTCGACTTACCGTGACTTGTAAAACATTAGTACCCAACGGCATATCTTTAGTAGCGATTGCGAAGTACTTCCCCTTAGCAGCAGCAATGCTAGACTGTTCATTGAATACGAAAACTGGTGGATTGTCATTCACATCAGTCACATGTACGTTGATAACAGCTTTACTGCTTTCCGGATTAATCAATCCCTGTATAGACTCCAACTGGACCTCCAAAGAATATTCCATCAGTGCCTCGTAGTCTATAGATGCGTTTAAGTAGATTGCACAATCTCTATCTTCTGTCAGCTTAACATAGAATACACCTGAAATGGAATCAATATGTATCACGGACTTTTACAAAAACGAGGGTAGTTTCAGATTTAAGTTTTGTCAATATATATATGTTAAGATGCATTATTAAAAAAGACATTACCTTTACGGTAGACTGCAAGAAAATAAAAGCAAATATGTTAATATAGATCCAAATCTAGATGATAGCACAATAACATTTAATAATAATGATAAAAATACCTTTTTGTGACGAGTCTGTAAGCAGGCATTTAAGTGGGGTGTCTCTAGAGTGTTTGCTTTTATTCCAGATAGGCAGAATACGCACTAAAGTGCCATTGGGCGAATTTTCAGCGACGTGTTCGGTGTAAGTTGTATCTGCGAAGCCTAATCTTACCTGCATTTAAACAAAATGTGTTAAAATATTAACGAATTATACCAAAAAAATATGTGTATGTACTGTTTTTAGTATAGAACATTATCAGCACTAATATAGGTATTATAATCTGCATGCAAACAAACGAAAATTTCACTTACATCTGGCGGCACAGTAGCTGAATGACTGACATAAACAGTTAGGCTTGTAACAGATGACATCACAGGATCTCCTTCGTCATACGCTTGCACGTCCACCTGAAAAGGACTACCTTTTAGGAGAGAATCCTTAAATAGATGTTACATCGTTTCGACAAACAGACTATACTCGTACGGTCAGGACCACAATTAGATAAGTAATTTTTTTATATATGATAACAGAGAACAAACCAGCATGGAGTTCAATTGACGTTGGTAGGTAAAATAGTCCTGCCATATTACATCTTAACAATATGTTTCACCTATTTTGGGTTCAGATATTCGAAATTCTAGAGGCTGAAACCGAAACTCGATTAAACTTGATGTCCTTTTCAGCTATGGACGGTGGTTCGTGATCCGGGCGAAATTTCGATATTCCTATCACTCATTTAATATCCAATTTCCAAACGAGCTCCAGCACGTTTTATAGAAATGTATTAATTGATTAGAAAATGTTTTATCCGATAGTTGTCAAACCCACGACCAATTGAAGTTATACAGTGCTACCCTTACACCAACGAGTCCGCCTTTTATCCAAAGCTAATAAATACTTACAGATTTAAATAAAACACTTTAACGGTTGAAAACGCTATATATTAGTTAAACTTATTTGAAAATGCCTTTTAACTTCGGCCCGACGTTTCGGATGCTTTGCAACAGCCGTAGTCTCCCCATGACCAAGTTTAACTAATATATCGCGTTTTAAACCGTTAAAGTGTTTTATTTAAATGTGTACTACTCGCGTAAACTATAGACAGTGTTTAAGTACTTACAGTATATTCACTGTCAGTTTCCTTCCTCAAATCATCCCTGAGTCTTATAACACCAGTATCAGGCTCCACATGGAAGTATATTGAAGCCTTTCCCCTCCCAACTAAGGCGTATCGTATCCTATTATTCGGAGGAGTAGCATCAGCATCCAATGCTACGACTGTTTCAACTAAAGAACCTATGGATGACGTGTCTTCGATTGTAACAGGTCGTATCGCTGACGTGAATACTGGTGCATTGTCGTTTTTGTCCTGAAATACCAACAATTTACGATTTAGTTTTATTAAGAAAAGCATTAAACTACATATTTTTAAAATAGGTACCTTTATTTATTACTTTAATAAACTTTAATATTCATGTACAAAATCATAATTGGTGGATGCCGGTTCCCGACTCGATTTTTAACTTGTAAAATGTTGATTTTTCTTTGTAGATCAGTGTATTTTACGAGTGTTACACCTGTACATCAGTCTATAGCCCCATATGTACAATTGTGGATGTATTTGGGTGGAGTGTTTGTATCTTATCTAAATAAAGTATTTACGTGAGTAAGTGAAATCCCGTTTCCCCCGTGGGGCATGAAGCGAACACATTTTTGTGTTCGTTTCACTGGTACATTGTTGATCTTCTTTAACAGGCAATAAGTCGATCAGACTTCTCTGTGCCTTGCCCAACCGAAACCATTTTTTTTTTCCAGGGATTCGAACCTAGGACCTCGCGCCCTTAACGCAATGCTAGGCAAGACGTTTAACCATTTAGCTACAGAGGCAGTCAAATAAAGTACTTACATCAACAATAATCTCCACAGTGGTAGTAGCACCTTTATCCTGTCCATTATTTTCCTCCGTACCAACAATAAGCTCGTGTCTTGCAATCATCTCTCTATCTAAGGGCCTAAGTGTGCGAATCATACCGCTTTTGCGATCTATAGAGAACAGGTCCGTGTCACCTTTTAGTATTGTGTAGGTGATTTCTGGGACCGAATCTGGGTCCTCAGCCTGAAATATCAAAATGCCAACTTAGTGAAATAGATTTTATTATAGTTTGTGTTTTTTCAAAAATCTAACTACAATTCGCACGATAATTAAGTAACAAAGCATTTTAAAATTACTTTTTGAGAAATTTCTTAGTTTTACGTCACTTAATTAGGCTACATTGTAGACCTTAAGTGATTTGAGCCTCCATTTTATATATATGCATAAAGAATATTAATGTGTTAACAACACTATGCGTTTGTAACAAGCAACAATGCATATTGAAATACTTACATGAACCTTAATGACAGGGTAGTTAGGTACATTTTCCGGTACATGCACGGAGTACAAAGGCTGAGAAAAGATAGGTGGCTCGTCAGAAACATCGTCCACGAGCACGGTAACTGACGCTGTCCCTAATCGTTTGTCTATAGCGCCATCTGTTGCTGTGACTACGAAGGCGTACTCCTATAATAGGAAAATCAACAAATGTTACATACATATACGTAATATTCTTGTCATTCATTCTTGTCATGTAAATGTCTGTCTAAACTTTATCAAACTCTTATTATTGTTTTTTTACATGCTGAGGTCGAGGATGCTTTGAAGCAGCCGTGGTTACGGGAAGACTAAAGTTGGAGGTGTTCTGAGGTCGAAGTAAAAACCAGTTACGCTAGCGCCACCTGTTCCGTCGACGTTGGTATAATAAATCCCAAATACGCTTAGTCTAATATATATTTCGTTTTAAGCCGTTATATTTCGTTTTATTTAAATATTAATAACTTGGTAATTAATAAAACAAAACTTTTTCAAATATTACCTTAGTCTCTTCATAATCTAGTTGGGTGTTGGTTGTAATAAGACCAGTTGTGTTGTCAATAGCGAAAGGTACATTGTTTGGGACGCTGTAGCTCACTAGAGCATTCACTCCTTCGTCTATGTCTGTAGCGTGTACGTATCCAACCTGTTCACCTGATGCACCTAGAATTAAGAGACAAATTAATTTTGAGGTGTTCGAAATTTGAATTCCCTTGCTAATAAAAATTTAAAAAAAGGGTATACATTTAAGCTAGCACAGGAAGTGCGCTTCTTCTGTTTTAGAGTTCTGGGGACGTTAGGAAACATAATATTATAACTTAAAACAAAGAAGGATACATCTTGGATACGAGAGCCCCAAACAACAATTAATTTGTCTTTATTCAATTAACCTTGGCTTCAATCGCTTTAATGTAATATTATTTTTCATACCTTCTTTTACATGGAATGTGTATATATCTTCATCAAACTTGGGATTGTTATCGTTAATATCAGTGACTTTGATATTGACCGTAGCGGTTGTTGATAGTCTTCCTGGGTCTTCAGCTCTTACCATCTACAAAAACGTGATCAATTTAAAAATATTTAATTTTACAGAAGGTAAAACATTATGTGCGTCATTGGCACTTTAAATTATATAGCAAGACATTTTGTGATATGATATATAAATAGAAAAATAATTAAGCCACAATCATTTTCAAGCTATTACACTCCACTGTACTCATTGTGCTAAATAATACAGAACCAGTATTTTATATACTTTACTTACCAGCTGATATCGTGTAAGAACTTCTCTATCCAAACGCCTTATCACGGTAATGATTCCCGTATTGGAACCGATAGCAAACTGGCGTAAGTCATTCCCAGACACAATGGAATATGTAACAGGTTCGTTCTCTGGGTCTTTGGCCTGAACAAATTTCATAATACAGGTTAATATACATATTTCCTTATTTTTCTATAAGCTCTTAATTTTACAGATAAATTTTATTAATTCATTTATGAGCATCGCAGTTTATCTTACTAATTTATACTTACTAATATTATAAAACTGAAGTGGAGAGTTTTTGTTTGGGTTGGATAGAGACTTTATCGGGAAAAGCTTTAGGCTATAAATATTACACTGAGACCGAGAAGTAGTAGAGCAAAGAAACAGTAGGAAATGTGAAAAAAATAGCTCTTAATAATTAATTAATCTTTAAGAGTTTCTGTTGTGTGCACTGTGAAAACAATTCAAGATAACCAAATATGTATGAAAGAATATATAAACAGCCATAATTAATAATATTATGATGTCCAAAATAATAATTATTATTGTTTTATTTAATATAACGTGCTTAGAATTTTGAATTTCGAAAAAATCTTGGTTGTTTGAAGTCGATTGCTCAAATGTTAATGTATATAATAAACATACCGTTACAGTGGTAACAGTTGAGTTTATAGCGGCGCCTTCTGATACTGGGGCGTAATAGTCTCTTGAAGAGAATTGTGGAGGTCTTGTGTTTGGCCCCGGAGCAACCATCAACTCAATTATGCCTTGTGAGCTCAGTCCTTTTGAGTCTGTGGCGCGGACGGTCACACTGTATTGTTCGCCAGCTTGCAGACGCCCTGTGCTAGCTAAAAACGAAAATCATACATAATAATGTTATCGTTGCTTACCTAATATATATAGGGTTGAATTGAAGTGCAAAGTGAAAAAAACTCAGTGAAGTCAACCCCAAACACATGCAACCCTATTATTCTAAGTAGTGTATTCATGCAAGATATTAAAAATAAAAATCTCCTTAATGACCTTGAATATAATAGAAAATAAATAAGTTCCGTTGTACCATAAAAAAAAGAAAATAATTACAATTTAATATTGCACTTTATATCTCGTTGAAAAAAAAAATTATATTAACGTCGCATCCAGCACCTATGCATTTTAAGTTGTCTACATACTAGTGTTGTTACCTACTATACCGTATCCTATAATATTTCCGATCTCCGTACTATATATTGTTAAAGTGCGGAAAAATACTATATTTTTAAAGTTCCGTGAATAATTTTTCACTGCAAAATTGTTAACATAGGAGCTGCATACGACTCGGTATCTTTGAAATTAGAGATGTGTTTGTGCGACTCACAAATAACTCCAGTGCTGGGTTCAATAGTGAACTTGTTACCGCCATTATTAGATACGTGATAGATGCTGTACGTTATACGCGCATTCTCACCCTCGTCTATGTCCGTCGCTTCCACCTGAAATGTCATTGGATTAAATATAATTATGTACAATTCAGGTATGACCATTATAAATTAAACCCAGCATATAGCATCACTTAATAGTAAATCCATTTGTTTGGCTTGGTGACGTGCCACTGGAGACAGTGGTCCGCACACCTAGACGACTCCGTACCAAAAGTCAGAGAGCGAGGTCGGGCGCGAGTGTCGCGTTCAGATGCGGTTAAAATGAACAGTAGTAAAATATATAAGTATAGTACTTAAAATTCATGAAAATGAAAACCGTTAAAAGTGTTTTATATAGAAAAAGACATCAATATATCCTTGAACTTTATTTAACATCAGATTTTCATACTGTCTTTAGTTTACGCGAGTAGTACACATGTAAATTAAACACTCAAATGGTTTAAAACACGTTATATTAGTTAAACTTATTTAAAAATGATTTTTAACCTCGGCCCGACGTTTTGGATGCTTTGCAGCAGAGGGTTGTTTTATTTAAATCATATTTACATGTAAACAATGGAGCTACCTGCTTCGTTTAATTTCGTTGCCTCGAAATAATTCTATTAACAATTTGTAAACGTTAATCACTGCAATCAAACATACCTTATAAACAGGAGCGGGTTCTAAACTAGCGGGAACGTTGACGGGTTGAGTTTTTGGGATAACTGGCGCGTTGTCGTTCTGGTCCAGAAGATAAACTACCACGGAGAACGGGGCTGAAGCAGCACCGCCATTCGCTTCTCTAGCGACGATCTGTAAGATAAAAAACTTCTTAGTTTTGACACGAATTAACAGATGGCACTAGCGTACCTGATTTGACTTTAACATTAGGGACTCCTGTATCTTCGTCCTGCCGTCTCTCCAACTTTGGGTGGCAGTTTAAATAAATCAGATATAGTTTAACTAATATCCTTCGCGTATTACGTTAAGGGTAAACTGTAATGGACTATTCTTAGTTTTACTTCGTTATTATTATTTTTTATCTAGTGTCCCTTATGAAATGTAATCCCGTGTATAAAAAATAATATAAACTTGAACTGTAATATTCCAATAATAAAAGAACTTAAACATTAAAGCAAGTAATTTAATAAAATAGAATATCTCGAATACAAGCGTGTTAACGTAATATAAACAGAGAGTAGATCAGCAGTTATTGTACTGAAAACAAGAAATATGTACTAGATAAGGCATATATATAATACAACTTATTGAAAAAATAATAGGAGAGACCAATATAATTTTCAATGAATTCATGCTCAAGCCCAAATAATTATGAGCTCTAATACTACACATATAAATCTCAAATTCAATTACCTGGAATCTTAAATGTCCTGAATTTGGTGGGTCTCTATCTAAATGCTCGTCGTTCACGATGAGGTATCCTTCCTTGTCGATATCGAAGAAGTTTGTAGTCAGCTCATACGTATATTTTGGTATGGGATCGCCGGGACCCTGTAGGAACAAATAATTAATTGCTACAGTAAAAACACGATGTATAACTCATTTTTTCATTGACGGCCTCTTTGGTGTAATGGTCGCAATGTCGCTAATAATATACGGGTCTGTGGTTATATCTCCACTGGGCCAATATGTTTTTAATACATATTTAATTTTCAGCACGTTGAACTTCTGGAAATCTGGGTGGTAGGAATATCGACCGCCTCTGTAGCCAAATGGTTAAACGCATTCCCTAGCATTGCGTTGAGCGCGAGAGGTCCTGGGTTCGGATCCCAAGCAAAAAAACTGTTTCGGTCAGGCAGGGCGCAGAAGTCTTATCAACTACTTGCCCGTTATAAGAAAGTATCCATGAAACGGACATAAATGTGTTCGCCCCATGCCCCACGAGGGGAAAACGGGCTTTCACACTTTTTTACGAATATCGAAATTCCGCACGAGCCACCTTACAGCTGAAAAAGTCATCAAGATTAATTGCGTTTCGGTTTTAATCTATGGATTTCCGAATCAATAGCTAAATTAAGGTCGACAGCGAATCATGTTTAGTTATATGGCTGGCCTATTTCGTTTACCATCCAGTGAGCCCCACCCTTTTCTGTCGTCCTCTATCATTATACAAAACTTTAACTTTATGTGTACTTTAATAGTTTTATAATTTAAAAATTGAAAAAATTTTCGACTCGGGCAGGACTTGAACCGGCATCATATTAATGTTTTCAAAGTTTTTTAATTACCAAATCTGGATCAGAAACACTAAAACGTATATTCTGGTTGTCTGAACCGATAATCTTGGTCCCTTTAGGCGAGTTCTCCTCGACTCTCCCTTCATCTGAGGTTGCTGAAATCACAGGTGGACTGGCATCTACTGGGCGTACTGTTATTGTCAATTTCGCGGTGGTAAACCGTTTTGCTTCGGATATTTCTTCCGCCTGAAATAATAAAGATATTTTAACAACATGGAGTAGTCAGCAGACTAGCAGATGACAATATAATACAAAGTCTACAGACACTGCGATTAGTTATTTATGAACCAACAAGGAATTTAAACACTTTTTTGTTATCTTCGGTATCAATCTATATCTATATGTATCGGCTTATAGTTAAATTAAAGTTCTAATAGAAACAGGCATACAGTACTGCGTGTAGTTTTAGCGAGCAGTACATATTTAAATAGAACACTTTCAACGGTTTAAAAAGCGAAATATATTAGTTAACTTATTTTAAGTGTCAGCCGACGTTAAAACATGCTTTACAGCGAGTCATGAATGATACAAATAATTAAAAATACGTGGGCTAATCTATTTAGCATTATAAACCGTTAAAAATGTTTTATTTAAAAGGCATTGAATCATGGCCTCTTTTTTAATAATGATCTTACCTTAATAACTAATTGGTACTTCTTAGCAATACTGGTATCTACAGGTAACAGTTGCCTAACGGCTCCCGTATTTTCATCGATATCAAAGTAAGTACTCCAAGAGTCTGGTTGACCACTCTCTATGCTATACTTAATTCTAGCGTTTAACGTGTCCATATCAACTGCTTGGATTTTCTCCGGTTCAATTGTTAGGATGCCGGCAAGTACACCGCTATTGACCTGCAAAATATGTAAAATTTAATTATTAAAAGTATTACACTAAACATTGTATTTTTAAGTTGCTACATTAGTAATAAGCTACCTTCAGTCAAAAAGTAAAATTAGTCTGTTTTTTATTGATAAAGAGGCAAGTATTTATAGAAGGAAACGTAAACCTCAAAGAATATAAAAATAACGTTACTACATGAAATATGAAATATATTAACATTTAAGCAAAATGTGTTGTCGACCTATTTTGCTCTCGGATAGTTTAAACACCACAGATAGAGAGCAAAGATTTAGAGACGGTGATTCGTAACCCGGGTAGACTTGTATGATACCAGATTCGACCTAGATTTCAAGACAAAATCTATCATGCTTTAGAAAAATTATAAGGAGATTAGAATTTTTTTAGACTGGGTGGGGATGGAATACACGATCTATTGATTAATATTAGACACGCATAGCTACCATCACCATGATACGTTAAGCAGTAAGTCAAAACAAAACATTTTATATTTATATCAGCAAAACTCATTAAAAAATTTAATCTAACTTACATAGCTCGAATATTCTGGATTGATACACGCCCCTTCATGCGAAGAACAGCCCTTGTAGATGAAGGAAGGATCTTGGTCATCATCGTCTTGAACGTTGACAGTTAGTGTTGCAGTACTTGACATACGACGCTTGGTGTCACGAGCACGATCCTGGAAAGAAAATTAAGATATAAAACAAAATATTTCACGGGAACGGGACTCGAATTCTAGAACAATAACGTTCAAAGTACAAGAAATAGTTATTTGGGTTTCTTTCAAAAAGAAAATCGTATCTGAATAGTTAAACTTTTGCTCAGCATTAAGCACGAGAGATCCTAATTTCGAATCTTGGGAAAAACTTCTTGGCAGGGTACAGTAGTCTGATCAACTACTTGCCGGTAAATAAAATGTACCCAAAAAATTGACACAAAAATGTGTACCGCTATACCTTACAAAAGAGATTATAAACTTCACAACAGGATAGGCCGCTAAAACTTAATTTTAAGGTTTCGATAGGCATTTTAATAAAAAAATATTGTGTAAACTTAGTTTATATTAAAGAATAACACTCACAGAAGCAACAATAGTGACTAGATACTTCTGAGTTCGTTCGTAATCCAAGCTCCTGTTGACCGTGACCTGGCCCTGGTGTGGTATCGGTATAGCGAAGTATCCATAGCCGTCTACCGCGTTAGACGCTTCCACTGTTTTATTGTCTCCTGGTACTATGAAATACTCCGCGAGGCCATTCACTCCAGCGTCTATGTCGGTCGCGCGGATTCTGTCGAATATTGTTGTCCCGAGAGGTACAAGCTGAAAACAAGAGCGTTTTAATGTTATAGTTGTATTGTCTGTAGGTAAAATTTTAACGGTTTAAAACGCGTAATATATTTGTTAACTTATTAACAATTTGGTCAAAGGGGTACCGTCCGGTCACATAGTGATTAATATATTGCGCATTTAAAACCGTTTAAAGTGTTTTATTTAACTGTTAGTTTTATTACAAAATAGTTTTACATCTTACGATGCCTATTCTAATCCAATAGAATTTGGGTGCTAAAACTGGGTTTAGTTCCTGTCTCCAATTTGAGTAGTGGACACTGTTATTGTTAGTTTTGAATCTTATCATTACAATTATTTTACACATATCTCCTTTGTTATTTATAATATAATCATCTGTATAATATAATCTGTTTTATACTCACTTCAGACACGCTAGTTTCGTAAGGAGTTCCTTGGAAAATTGGCGCGTTATCATTTATATCAGACACTCGTACAATGACAGGTATGGTCCGACGCTTTTTCGTAGACTTGACTTGGCATACCAGCTGGAACAAATTAAAAACTTTAAAATCATCTTGTAGCGTTAAAGATAAATTAATCTAGGCTTGAATGAAGATTCGTAAGCGATAACACCACTTAAAGTCCGATCTAATGGAACAAATCATTAAGATACAACCTATCCATTACACCAATTAAAATATTGTTGAACAACTAAAGCAATACACTATCCCTTTAGGCGATAATATAAATTAGATCGTGAAATATTAAAAGCTGGTTAGGCAATTAAAAGTATACTTAACGATATCCATCTTTGTAATAGTGTTATTTATAACACCTAATATCTACCTGTTAACTATTCGATGTTATCTAAAATTACCATGACACATTACAGATACTAAAATACGTTATTTTTATATGTTCAATGCAATATGATTTATTAAAAATCGTTTATAGATTGACTTTACGCATCCAAAAGTCTAGGATCACAACGTCTAAGCAACAGCACGCGAACGCTATTGATGCCGGTTCAACTCCTGTCGGTGTCTTTTTTTCCAACTTGTACAAGTACAAGTACTTCAACTAAAACGCTTCAACGGTTTAAAACGCGATATATATTAGTTAAACTTATTTGAAAAGACGTCAGAGGCATCTCCTATTTTTAGTCTCCTCGTGACCACGGCTGCTGCAAAGCATCCGAAGTTAAAAATAAATTTTAAATAAGTTTAACAAATATTTATAGCGTTTCCAACCGTTAAATTGTTTTACTTAAATGTGTGCTACTCGCGTAAACTACAGACAGTATTTTATATATACTGTATTTGTGTCATTACTATTTGGCTTTGAATATGTTATGGTGAACATTGAAAGTTTAACAAACCTGGAAGACCATATGCGAGAGATTATCAGCATCCCGATCTAAGGGTTGCAAAAGTTGTAATCTCTTTCCATCGAGTTGGAATAGCGTGGGACCTTTTGGGAAAACGGTGGAGAGTACCACGTCAACATCTGGTTCACCAACTATTGGCAGCGTTGCTGGAACTGTACTTTGGTTTAGTTCTGAAATGCGAAAAAATTTTATAAGTATCATCATCGTTTTATTACATTTCAGGTTATTTAAATATTGTTAAATACTTAGCGTACTTTACTCGAGTAGTACAGATCTAAATAAAACACTTTAACGGTTTAAAACGCGATATATATTAGCTAAACTTATTTTTAACTTCAACCCGACGTTTCGGATGCTTTGCAATGGCCGTGGTCACGGGGAGACTCAAGGAATGAATATCGCGTTTTAAAACGTTAAAGTGTTTTTATTTAAATATAGTTATATAAAATTAAACGCTTAACACATAAGGTTAGTAAACCTCCGAATCTATGTATGTCGTTAAATACATAGATTCAGAATTTATTTTTTATTATATATGTATATTTAAATAGAAGCCCTAATTATAAATCTATACTAATAAAGCCGAAGAGATAGTCAGTTAAAATTCGTTATATATATATATATATATTAAATAATGGTTTTTATGGTAATAAAATTTGGTCTGAATCTATGTATTTAACGACATACATAGATGCATTATTACCAAATATTTGTTAAACCATAATAATATTAATTTTTCACAACAACACAACGAATTTCGGGCCAATAAAGTTACTCATACTGAGAATAAATTTATAAAAGTTTAATACCCAAACAGCAATAATACAAACCAGTTATATTAATTTGACTTAAAAGAAAAAAAGATGAAGACTTGTTTCTAAATGTTAGACCACGTTTATTCTTATTCTAAGATATGATTGATGATGGCTTTTTATTCAATGACAAAAGATCAAATGATTTCTAAGAATTTCGCATTAAAACTTTGCAATAAAATCAGTTAGTTGATCTACGGTATTAAATGGTGTGATAATATGTTAATAAAAATTATTCTTAATGTTTATAAATCTTCCCTGTCAATATTTAGGCCCAGGTCTCTTGTCTTAGACGACATAAGATTAGATCCATTACGTCGTCTGAGTTGCTTCTTGTGCAAATTTACTGACTTCCAACTTTAAACTGATAATCCGGACCGACTTCTTCATTGGGTATATGCTACTTCCAAAGTCCCTAATACCGAATTAACATTTGGCGTGACCCTAGACTCAAATGGAAAGTATGATCGTGAAAAATCAGTCAGCAGACACCAAAACACAGCAGCCCCTGCACTAACAAGGTATTAACTTAAAAGTACGATATAAAATTGTTATAGTACTTACGGTCGCCTCTACTTTCTTCAATGTCCACAATAATACTCGATTGTCCTGTTTCAACCTCACAGGGACCTGAAAATGTATTATAGAAAACTACTTTAACCATTTATTGAACTGGACTAGACTTATACTAGAACATAGTTAGGAATTGATTTTATAAATATGAAAAGGCTTGCATTATGTAAGATAATACTTTGTCATTTTAAATAATTAAAAACCTAAAAAGCCTACAAAACATTATAAGTCATTCCTAATTCCCTCATGCAGGCTTTAATCAAATTTACACCTATATATGGGTGCTTTGAAATTTCTCGTAAATTCTAAAGCATCGTAAACCTTCGCGCGAAAATTAAGCGTAGTGGGAGTATTTTTACTGCCTTCAGTGGAAATTACAAAGGGCTTTGTAGTGAAGGCAGTAACCAAGTACTTAATGAAGATATTATGAAATTTTAATCAGTGATGTATATATATCACAGTTAACTAAGACGTGGATTTTAGATACAAATTCCCAATTCAAATAAACCGGTATACCACAGTTTCTGAACGCACAGTAATGAAATACCTGGGCGAGTCAAGTCGTTATTAAATTTATTAATATATTTGTATAGCACACTTCGACCTATCGTTTCGCATAACGAAATGCTAAAAATTTAAATAATAAATGTTAGACAAGTGTTTCGACTTAATTTCCGTAAATTTATGTACATTTAAAACACATCAGTTATGGCATAATCTTCGATCTACATACATAATTACGTATTATAAATACCACATCAACAGACCCATAAAGGCTGTAATAGGCTCGATTTAATATCCTCAGCCGTCAGGTCACGACCGGATAAATGTAAACATTACCTATAATTACGTACTTAGCTAAATTAATCACACCTAATCTTATGAATTATTCAATCACGTTGAGCGTTGCGGAGGCAACACTGTTTAAAACCCTTATTTTATTTACTTGCTTTGGACTTAACGTCGCGAATAATAAGGTCCCTACTATTTCGACTGCCTCGGTAGCTAAATGTTTAACTTTGTGTAATATTGCGTTGAGTTGAATCCCCGGGAACGGCACAGGTGTCTAATCAACTAGTTGCCTTTTATTTCACTTTTTTTAAATTTTATTTCCACAACAAACTGTCTACTGTAAGTATAACATGTTTCCCACCATTTTTTACAGTATACCTTTTGAAATCACTATTACATACAATTATACAAAGTAACGTCATAATTATGAAACTATTTAAATTAAAAGTTCTTGAAAAACTCAGATACATACAAACACAAGAACTAGAAGTTGTCTGACCGGCTCGTAGTGTTTTTTGGAATTTTCTATAAACGTTGAATCAAATGTAAAATCTGGATATTCTATTGGTGGTGGGAAATATCCGACTTTGACAACGCAAAAAAGAACCATAAAGTGTTCGTGCTTCGTTTTTAGTCTGTGGTGTTCCAAATGTTTAGCTAAAATAGATCGATAGCTATCTTTTGGAAACTTTAATACTTTTCACATGATTATATAAAAATTAAAATAAGAATCGATTTGAAGAAATGTTTCGACACGGACATGACTTGAACCGGCCACAGAGAAACAGCACGAGACGCTGTAGATACCGGATCAAGTCCAGTCCGTGATGTTCTCGCTTTCAGATGTTATAGGGCTGAAAATTTTCATCTTTCATCTAGATTACCTCATGTTTTTCCTCCTCAGTCAAAAAATTAATTCATTTCCTGTCAACGCTACGATTGTTATTGTTATTGATTTATAATATACTTACGATACACGTAAGTTATATTATAAATCACAGTTACAAGACACGTCGAAAGCAGTTTTGTGGGCGTGTCTGAGAAACTTTCAATTAAAAACTTATCCGTCAACGAGAACATAAGTTAGCACAGGTGCGGGCTGGTAATTACGACTTGCTTGGATGAAAAAACGCTGGTTGTATTAGTAATAAGTAATAACTCTATTGAATACGTTTAGAATAAGTTAAAGAGCCCGCATACTTTTACTTACCGTTATGCAACAGGTAGAATACATAGGGCCTTAACTAGTAATTTAATTTATAAATTTATATAACACGCCTTCGTTTTAATAAACTAATTTTTGTGACTCAATTGACTGGAAGGTGATTTTTTTGATGGAATGTGAAATGCCCCAACCGTCTAACATTTTTTTTTATGATAGAAGAGGACAGAAGCATACGCTTCACTTGATGGCGATTGAAATAAGCTAGTCATATAAAATATGAATAAGATATGTTTATACCTATACGGCTTTGGATATTCAGAAATCCACAGAATAAGGCCGAAACTCAATTAAACTTGACGGCTTTTTACCACTAAACGGTGGTTCGGGACCCAGGTGGAACCTCGATATATCTACCTCCTATTTAATCTAACATATTCCATAAAAATTATAAATTGTTAATAATGTTGGGTTCGGTTGGTATCAAACCCACGTTCTATTCAATAAGCACATATCGCTATCAATAAGCTTATAGTTTATCTTATAAATTTTTAACCATTTCAGCATTTTTTATTATTACTTCAATATCGACATAGTCTTGAAATTAAAAATTATATTTCTAAAATTAACTTTGGTTAATATGTTCGTGCTACCAAATACATTTACAAATATCAGAATTCCAACATCGGTCCAAGTCTCATTAAAATAACTTATAGACCGGAATGTAACTAAATAGCAACTATATAAGGCGTAGATTCATCTATGACGATATGAAATAGAAAATTCTTTACAATATCTAGAATCGCCTTATACAGTATTAACTAGCGCCAGACGTTAATACCGTGGTTGTTTTGCTGTTTTGGTAAGCATCGATTCATTGGCAAATTGCGTGGTTGCGATCATTAGCTACACTATCTAGTAATTAATTATCCAGTAACAAGATTCTCGTTCCAATAGATAACAAACTGGAGCCAGACATGGACGAAAAAGCATTTAGTACTTTCCAATGAGTAGGAAACAAGAATTATTATATAACGCAGTGTTTCTTCTATTCTCGTAATTGGATTAATATTTAATCTTCGTTCATGTTACGTATTAACTGAATATATATAACTATGTAATGGAAACGCTAAAGCAGTAAGACAAAGAAATAAAAAGTCTGTAGTTTACGCGAGTAGTACACATTTAACGGTTTAAAACGTGATATATATTTGTTAGACTTGCAGCAGCCGTGGTCGCTGCAAGGCAAAGCATCCGGAACGTCGGGCTGTAGTTTAATACGTTTAACTAATATGTATCACGTTTTAAACCGTTAAAGTTTTATATTTAGTTTTAACAGATAAATATGTAAAGCTTGTGTGTAAATAAATAAATTCTAAAAAAGTTTCTAAAACATTGCTTTTACAAAAAAAAAGTTTTTTTTTTGAAACACGGTGTTATTTTACAATTCAATATTAAGAAACAACGTGTAAAAAAAACAACTTAGGATGTTTTATTTTAAGTTGTAATCCTTCAATTAAATACTAATGGTACTTTTTACACATACAATATTAGCAAATTAACGAAAAATCTTCAGTGAAGGGCAACAGTTTATAAATTAGCTACTTGCGTGATTTTATCTCCTATTAAAGTACCCATAGTTATCGGTCTAACGTTTTTGCCCACGGCGGATGTAGTATTTTATAATAACTGTAAGTTTTTTCTACTTTAATCCTAATACAGTTAAACCAAGTTTATACCTTGCTTGAAACTGAGATGAAACTAATTACTTTCGGAAGTACACATCAAAGGAATTAAAATTATTAATATTTGTGACCGCTTATCACATCTTCAACAACCGTTACTTCATATTATTTAATTCTCCTATTTTTATAATGATAGAGAAGGACATGCGAACGTGCGGTTCATTTGATGGGAGGTGAAATATCCAAGCCGTATAACACCTACATAAGATGCGTTGTCGGCCTATTTTGTCTTTGCATCCGAATATGCAATCCACAGACTGAAGCCGAAACGCGATTAAACTTCACGGCTTTTTCATCTGTGGACGGTAATTCGTGACGCGGCCGGAATTACAATATTCCTGTCATCCAATTAATATTCAGAATTTCAGACGAAGTCTAATAAGTTTCAGATACACTATAAATTGAAAAATTAGGAACATGTTCCTGTGGGATCGAATCTACGGCCCTTGATTATTAGCCATACGATGCTACCGTTAAACCAACGAGCGCAATAGTATTGTTGAAACAGTCATCACTAGATACGTCATTATATCGGTATTATAACTGCAACCATTAAATTTGAATAAATATTTATGATCATTTTAATATGACCTATTCCCCGATGCCAATAACAATACATAAATAAGCTTTGATTGTCCACTATTTGTTAATAATAAATAAACAAACGCATTGTCCTATTGTATATTTCCATTGAATGAGGTGGGCACGAAATTGTTAACACGTCAGCTTCTCACTGTTAAATTAATATCTAGCATTTGATATTGTTTTGAAAAATAAAGGTATGTTCGAAAGCTTTAATATTTTCAACATGTTATTGCACATGATATAAAAATCGAAAATAAATTGCAAAAATTTACGACTCAGGCAGGATTTGCCTACTCGGTAGCTCAACTGGTAAGAGCAACAGCACGGAACGCTGACGATGTCGGTTCAAGACCTCCCCGAGCCGTAATTTTTTTTTTAATAAAATAATAATATGAACAATTGAGATACCGTGTATACTGCAAAAAAAGAACGAATAGCAAACATCAAATAAAAATTATAAAGATTCAAACATCAAAACAATGTCTTAAATATAATACAAAGTTATGTATTATAAGAAACTTTAATTATGATTACTGACCTGGTGTAGAAAGGACGCCATGGAGAAGAAAGACTAGAAACCAAATCGTCCATTGCTGGTTCAGCGCGCACCATCGCGCCATCTCACTGAAAGAAAAAAACAAATTATTGTCTTTGTTTATAATCAAAGATACACGTTTGTTCTTAGTTGAAAATTGACGTTGATTCGAAATTCGAATGCGTTTCCGCAATGGCTGCTTTTACGACTTGAAAGTTTTGTGTTTGACATTTGACGTCTAAATCGTCAGCAATTTTTTATTAACAAGGAAAGTATACCGTAGAATATAGTAAGTATAAGACTTAAACAAAAGCCTACAAGAAGAACATTGCAAAATAAGTAACAGATTTGTAATGAACAACTATCTCAAAGGAAGGATATTATTGCACTAATTAAATCTGACATCGCGATTTGCATAATCATCTATGTGAGATAATCTTGAGCTAACTCACATGTATAGGCAACTACTTGTGTGTTGTAATTTGATATTATAGCTCAATGGACAACTAAGATATAATTTGCATGAGTTGCATTGTCTCTTAGGTTTTATCACCATTGTATTTAACAATATTAAACTTCGTTAGTCTTCTATGTACGATAATATGCAAAATGTTTTAGTTTAAATGTTTTAAATATCGCAATAAAGTAAACCATATACCATTATTTTATTAAGTATTGTCTGTTTACGCAAGTAATACGCATTTAAATAAAACATTTTCAACGGTTTAAAAATCCCCCGTGATCACGACTGCTGCAAAGCATCCGACACGTCGGGTAGTAATAAATAATAACTTGTAAATAAGTTAATTAATATATTTCGCGGTTTAAACCGTTATAATTTAATTGAAATAAGTGCTTCGTAAAACTATTACGTCAGCAATTCCATTATCCTTAATCGGCTGCTATTTAGCAGCAGCAAATCCTGATACTTCGAAGAGAATTACCGTAAATCCGTTTCTAGTAATGTAATTAGAGGATTTTGTGAGCTATGCTGATTTAATAGCGCGGTTTTAGGGTTTCTGTCGTATTTCATTATATCGGCTTTGAGATTGCTACGCTGGTAATATAGAACTTAAATTCTTTGTGATTTTCCAGCTAGGGACAACAGGGTCTCTTCCTGCGTCAAAAGAGACCTGGGTTACAAATATGTTATAAACCACCTATTGTAAAACTATACTAAGTTAATTATTATTACTGTAGACGTTGGACGATAATTCTCAGTATTTATATTCATGCATATTTTAATTTAAGATATCGTTACTTGATACGCACATTTTACATGCGTTAATTGAAGTCTACTAACAGAAAATAATTAAATTGAAAATGTTACCGTCTCGATTCGAACTCCTAACAAACGACACCTTTTCACTGAAGGAGCTGTCGAAACAAAGAGCAAGAGTGGTCTCAAAGATGTAAAACAGTGATTTTTAAAATATTATTAACATACACGTCTTTAATGTCTAAACTAAAGCATAAAAGCCTTGCGTATTCAAATCCGTTACCAGTACCCGAAAACACCCGTTACTTTCAGTAACGATTTGATATCCAGTATCAACCCGGTAAATGCTAAGTTAATATGGATGTTCTCGTATGACCTCGTCGGTGTATAGGCGGAAGGGTTATGGGAAATAAAGCTGTTACTGCCACAATTTACATGCTACATTCGTTACATTAATCGAGGTTTATTATAGGTTATTTGGTTTGCTCATTGCTGCCTGAGGATTTACGGATATGTCGGATCGCAATAAATGGCTAAGGTTTGAGGTCGCATTCACTAAAATATTAGGCCTGCTTAAGTTATTGCGTGTTAGCTAAAACTAATTTAGATGTTTACAAAGACAGTCTGTAGGGAAGTAGAATAGTACTTATTTATCTAAACCAGTGAAATCGATTTTATTTACTGACAAGTAGGCGCTCATTACCTTCTTGTCTGTAAATTGTCATGATTAGTGTGTATAGTATTTCCTCGTAAATCTTCGTGCATGTGATGCTAAATAAAGCATTTACAACCGACCTACGGAAGCTGAAGAAAGTAGAGATATAATTTTAAACTAATTTACATTAACTCAAATATTTTAAAACACTAATACCTACACAATGAGGAATTTAGGAACGACTATTATTTCTTTATTCTCAGTATAAATAACGGTAAAACAAGGTAAAAAGTAACTTATGTTAATCTATACTAATATATAAAGCTAAAGAGTTTCTTTGTTTGTTTGAACGCGCTAATCTCAGGAACTACGTATTCGAATTGAAATTTTTTTGTGTGTTGGTTAGAGCATTTATCGAGGAAGGCTATCTTTAAAGGTTATTTTGAAAGAACGACGAGAATGGACGCGACCGACGTCGTGGGTAAAAACGAATTTGGATGCCCGTAATAAATATTCTACTCGAACGAAGTCGCTGTCACAGCTAGTTGTATTATATGTTTCATATTAACATCAAAATTCACACCGAATAGGATGTAACACGCATCTGACTCTTAGAAAACTGAAGTATCTCAATAAAAACCAGTAAACGGGTTATGCTTGCTAGTCTATCCGTATATAAGTAGTCCATATAACTTAGCAAAAAGTGGATCCCAGTTCCAGCAAGATTACTTAGGGACATTATCTAGATTCTAGTGTATTAAATCATAGGAAACTTGGCTATTAAAAAGGCGTGGTTGAATATGTTTTATTGTTGATTGAATTTCTAAAGAGATGATTCTATTGATATAGGATGATGTACTCGTAGCTTCGGTGATAGTTGGAAGTAAGACACAGAAATAGATTTACTGAGATTTAATTATAAGGATATCTACGTTTGATAAAAATACAAACCGGCTCAACTATCGACTAATATAATATTTAAAGTCAAAGCATTTGTAATACCACAATTATGTATATTATAATATAAAAATAACTTTAACAATATTACGTCAAATAATTCTATTAAAGGAAGCAGAAGAAGAAAAAAGCTTGTTCTGTAACTTGAAGGTGGTTAAAGCTTAAGTTCTTCATCTTTATAAACTTAAGCTGTTACCCACGACGTCGGTCGCGTGTCTTCACTTCGTTCTTACAAATTAATTTTAAAAGATAGACATATTTTTTTAGATCACTTAAGAAATCATTATTTAATACATATACTGATTAATTTCCCCACTTTTTCACATTTCTCGCTGTATCTTTGCTTGTATTAGAAGACAGGGCAATGTTTTATAGCCTATAATCGCCTTCCCCGATAAATGCCATAACGAACAAAAAAATAATTTTTCAATTCGAGTTCCTGAGATAAGTGCTTTCAGACATACAAACAAACTCTTTAGCTTTATATATTAGTATAGATAAATCTTGCTACTTAATAGCGTTTATATTTTATACTTAAGTATTATATGGCTTCAAATAGATTTTTCTATTCTGAGAATACATCACCAATAAGCTGGATTATGCCGGTAGCACGTTCTCGACATGAGATAATTAATTTGTCACACGTCGTATTTGCCTAGGATGGAATCTTGTTATATATCACATAAATATAATTTATGATTTCATGCGAAATTTTTCGTATTAAATTCAAAAAGGTCTTCTTTTACAAGGTTACCTGGAAGAAATCGCTGTTTAGCGATAATAATTTAAGTTAGTAATTTTTTTTTCGAATCTTATTTCTGTAACATTCTTGAAGTAGTTTCATTATTCAATTTAAAAATCGAAAATAAATTGAAAAAAATTACGACTCGGCCAGGACTTGTACCATCGTCAGCGTTCCGTGCTGTTGTTCTACCAATTGAGCTACCGGGTCATAATATAATAAATTATTCTTTGTTTTATTTCTTTTGATCTATCTATCTAGGGCCAAAAGGAGCAATTGTTATTAAGATTAAGAGTAGATACTTTAACCCATTAGTGCATAAAGTTTTCTAACGTCTTTTAAATGACGATAACAAAAATATGTTATAATTTAGAGTGTATTCGACAATTAACTGACATAAAATACTTAGTTTTTGTGAAAGTTCAGATTTTATAGCCCGTCCGATAAATCGGACGTTATGCATGGCGGACACAATTGATGTTAAAAAAGATTAAAATAAAAGTACGGATTTTATAAAGAAATTTATTATAGAAAGTAACAGAAAATAAACATATTTTAATTTAAAATGTGGTATGCCATGTGACATTTCGGGTGAAGGCCTACATCACATTTCTGACACTGAAATTTACTTTTTCCTCCACATTGATTTGCACACCGACGTTCAGTATTTATTGGAACCAGCCAATGTTCTTTACCGTCGTATCTCATTGTAGATAATGGTTTTGCCGGCTTGCGACCTTGATGTGGTGGTGTGCCATGTGTCGAAAGTAAGCTCCTTGCTATGAAGCGTCTAAAAACGAATAAAGACTCAGTATCTCTTGTGCAGCCATTCTTCCGTGCAAGTAACCAGGCATTTACAACCGAAACGTCTAATAAATATGCAAATATGGGCCACCACCATTTCTTTATACGCATCCGAGTTCGTAAGTTTGCCACAGCCTGATCACATTTGTCTACTCCACCCATATACTTATTATAATTTGAAATAAGTGATGGCTGAGGTACTTGCACTTTGGCTTTTTCTTCATTGGACCAGCGTGTGGCAGATGTAATTGCCAGATTTTCAAAATTAGTGGCTACTGTGACAACATTGTTATCATTCCACCGACATACGAAAACATCATCAGCTACTCGGTAATCGTAATGACCTCGCGCCTCCTTCTTGAATTGTTTTACGTTATAATAGCCAAGCTCCTTCAGGTGTCTCATCAGGCTCAAAGATGTAAAATAATTGTCAAAAAACAATTTTATGCCACTGTTTGGTGGAAGTTTGCTCAATGTAATTAGGTTGAGAACTACGTCGCCACCTACTCCAAAATCTTTTTTTTCAGAACTCTTTCCCGTATATAAACTGAACGCTAACATATATCCGGTACTAGCACACATTGCCCAGTTTTTGAAACCAAACCTAATTGGCTTTCCACGGATGAACTGTTTAGCGTAGTGTTTTCCGTAATACGGGATCATGCTTTCATCTACGCTATAGTGTTCATCCATCCCGTAGTGTTTCTGAAATGTTTCACCTAGGCTTTCCAGAACAGGTCGTAATTTATATAATCTATCTGTTTCATTGAGCTCGCTATTATCGTTCAAATGTACATGTTGAAGAATCAACTCAAAACGGTTGCATCTAATGCTGTCTTGTAAAATTGTAGGCACGTCATTATCCTTGCAAAAATACAATCGCTTCTTTGGCAACTTGACATAACCCGACAAAAGCATTGCTCCTAAAATAACTTAGATTTCGTCGTCTGTTGCCATCAAAGGTTTGTTTTTTTGCAAAGCGTACAGGTTTGTTTGTTTGACTATATGTTTGATGAGATCATTGTGAAAAAATAGTTTGAAGTATTCCAGAGGATTTTGACATTTTTTACTTTCATCTGATGGTGGCTGTGGACGATATTCAGTGCAAATAAAAGCGGGTTCTTCTTTTTTCCAACCTGTAGATTTTTTCTTTTTAGTTGGCGGTGCAGACCTTGAAGGCTTGTTATGAGACATGAAAATAGAAAGGGGCTGCTCGTCTTCACTATCGCTTCTTGATAAAAAGTTATCATTTGATGCTCGTTGCTTATTTGAACCGAGTGCTGAAGACGTTGATGGAGTAGAAATATCGCTATCACCTCGAGAACGTTGCAATTCGCAGCTAGCTTGCAGCAGTCTTCGTCCTAAGTGATTTAGGTTCGCACTATGCTCCTCATCGGACTTATCACTATCTTCGTCAGTAACCTGATCGGCATGCTCAATAGGGGGCTCAACGTAAATGATATTTTCCACAGTATTATCATACTCCTCACACTCCAAAGCAGATAATATTTCATGAACTTGCAACCTGTAACCATTCAATAAAATACTACATTTAGTATCCGCTGTGCATAGCGTGCGATATATCGGACAGTAAAAGGTTTGCAAGCATAGCATTCAAAATGATCGTGTCTACGTAAAAAAAGTATTGAAAATAAGTATTCCAATAGTTTAGCAATCAAAATAACTTCTTTTTTACCCAAAACACTATACAAATTACAATAAAAACACAATATAAACTTACCTTCGTCTCGAGAAACTTTGACCGTGTGCCACCATTTTGCAGATTGTCAGCTGATGCTCGGAAAAGTTCATAAATTGTATAATAACTGTATTGCCACTTTTGAATATATATTAAACTACTGTTTTAAATAGATAAACCTTAAGTTGAATAAATGTTACCTCTATGATAAAAGTTTTTTTACCGTCCGATTTATCGGACGTTATGCACTAATGGGTTAAATCTAGATTTTTAAGTGTATAATCTATTAATACAATATGGATTTATTTAGCTTTCGATTTAAGCAAAGAATAAAACAATCAAATTATATATCTAAAAAAACTAATATAAAATTAATAAACGTACTATGGTAATTCACTCATATTTTCCATTCGTTGTTCTTGCTAGGACGATCGTGCCTAAACCCAACCGCTATATTCTAGAACAATGGGGAATCTAACGGCTTGTGGTGGGTCAAATCTCTCGAAATTACACCTCACTATAGTCTTTTCATCATAACTGAACGGAATAGATTTTGCACGTGCTATTTTCAATTTGCCTTTATTGCGTTAACTTGTAAATCCTAAGTATAACTATATGCAGGCAGAACAGTTATGAATATTAAAAAAAACTCTTTAAACGGTATTAATTGCACAAATATTATTTTACTACTACATGACGATTAGGATGCTGTGCAGTTGTGCAGCAACCGCACAACACATCAGTCAATAACAACATCCGGTAAAATTATAGTATAGAGCTTTTTCAAGAAAATATCTTTATCGCACAACGATACAGATAAGTATAAAAATGCGTTAGTGAAAAATTCAAAGAGGATAAAATTATATTCTAAGGATACAAGCATCTTCATAACATGTTATGATGAGCGACAGTCACGCACAACTACTGGTATCTTGACGAATGCAGTTTCACACGAGAATATTTTAAAATCCTTGCTTCGAGGCATTTTTTAAGAGTAAAATTAATCATGTGTTAAGCAAATTCTAACGTCAGTATTGACTCACGATTTAAGTAGCACGCTGATATATGAAATGAATGGGTCTTGAGCTTCAAATAGATTTTTAAAATACATATGTAACTTATGAAGCTCTACGTCTCTTAACCCATTGCTTATCATAGAGTAATATTCTGGGACAAACAATCATTTCGACCGGATCGGGCACAGTAGTGCGATCAACTCCTTGCATTTAAATAAAGGGTTTAGAGAAGCGCACATACCAGTATATCTGCCCATGCCCCACTCGAGGACAATGATTTTCAAACCTTATGTAATAATTGAAATTCAATAGATAAAAACAAACTTAAACTGTTATTTTATTTAACATTAGGTAATGTATTTATCGTATTAAGATAATTAAATAAATTAAAATAAATATGAGTAACGATAAAATATAATACTTACATTGAGGACATCCTTACGACGTACCGTAAATACGTCAGACAAAAAAGTTTTGGATCGAGGGTAGTTTTAAAAAATTGGCTAAATTCCTATTTCACAAACATTTATGACTATATACTAAGCACAATACTATACTTATATAGTATACATATTATAACAATACTATAGGCTACCTATATCCTACAGTATAGTGCTTTGTAAATCGAGGGCGCATTCTAAGCGTCCTCCTTCAGAGTACCGTTATCTCTTATCTGTGTTCAGCCTCTCGATATAAGCTAACGGCGATGATACCCGCCCTTATTACAATAGCCCACACACATCACAGCATGATTCATTAATGCAAACATTTCCTGCGACTATTGTTTATGTTTTTCGTTTGGTTTGCAGATTCCTTCATGAGTTTCGAATATCTTATGCGCTGGAGTACATACGAAAGAGACGGGTATATTCTTTGTCGCGATATAATGTATTATTATGGATTTCTTTTAAATAAAACTAATATATTAGTTAGATCAGGCTGCCATTTTCTGCTATTGTTGATGATACTTATGGCGATTCCTATTCACCGGTTTCTTCGTGTAGTTTAATAAATAAGTAAAATTTAATTTCTTGTGTAAAATTAAATCTTTACTCTTCTCGATTAAAACACTTTTCCAAGGATTCGGTATTTGAACATCTCGTTTAGGCTGTAGTAAGTAGTAAAAACACTGTCTGTCTTTTACGCGAGTAGTACGTACACATTTAAACAAAACACTTTTAACTGGTTAAAACGCCAAATGTATCAGTCAGGTCTTCCCGTGACCCGGGCTACTGCAAAGCATCTGAAAGTTTAACTATATCGCATTTTAAACCGTTAAAGTGTTTTCTTTAAATGTACTACTCGCGTAAGCTATAAGCAGTATTATGGATTTCGTCATTATTTCAAGAAGTAAAATGCTTACATTCAATGTCGTGTTGGTTTTATATGTAAATTTCTAAGTATTAAAGACAGTACGACTCTTCAATTTCCCATGATGTATGATTAATATTCGCCGACAAAGATGAAAGCTTATATGTTAAATTTCACATACACAGCTGAGGTATGTCGATTATGTAACCGCTGAGACGTAAAGATATACCGATTATCTAATAATAATCAGTTACTGAGTTGAGAGATGGCTGAGGTGCGGTTTTAGACGCATTCTTGTCTGTGACTTTACTTGCAGAACTTGATCTTATGATTACTTTATGACAAGGATAAACACTTGTACATTTGATGTAAGTGTAATACTATATACCTATACTAATTAAGGTGCGGTGCGGTAAGGTCCACAGACTAAAATCGAAAGGCGATTAAACTTCACGATTTTTTTATCTGTGGACGGATGTTCGTCACTCGGTACGAAATTTACTAACAACCGCCTTCTCTCCATGCCGATCCACTCGTCTAAGTTTTATGACTCTTCTTTTTCGGTACAGGCTGTCCGCCTATGGAATGAGCTACCACTTACAGTCAGACTGTCACAGAGTCACACTATATTTAAGGTCAGGGTCAAGCAATACTTTCTTGGTAATGCTGTTTAGCCTTGGCCTCATTGGCTTTAGAATTAATCACATTTAGGGTCTTCATATGCTTCTCTAGGTTTTAAGTGTGTAATTTTATCTATTAAGTATGTTTAGCTTTAGTAATTTGGTGCTAATTTCCAGTTTATATTATCTTTTTATTGTATAATTTAATTTTTAAGTTTGCCTTTTGATTGTTTTCCTAAATTATCTTTTTTATTTCTTATTTCTACATGCAAAGGTTGCCTGGAAGAAATCGCCATAGGCGATAAGGCCGCCTTTGCACAAACATGTTTTATTTTGTATATGTAATTCTATGTATCCATGTTCTTATGTCTATGTTTGTGCAATAAAGAGTTTATTATTATTATTATTTCGACATCCAACATGTTTCAGAAAAAGTTCCATTGATTACAAACTCGTTAGAAAAAGTGGATATCGATCCCATGATTCGTTGATTATTAGTCAAGAATATCTACCATTACACCAACGTCGAATACTTACTGGAAGTTCCTCAACAATATGCGTTAATTTCAAATTTAGAATTGCCTCACTGTTCAAAGTAATTTCGTTTATTATAATTGGCGACATTAAAATTTAATACTGGCAACAATCTACATGAGAACCAGGACAACGCCTTTGTCTTTGTTATAAAGCGATACCATTATAACGTAAATGTCGATCGATGTGGCATTTAAATCTCGAACTTATTCAATTACCCACAAAATACGCTATTTGTAAACGCAAGTTCTTTTCAAATGAATGGGAACGAAAGATTAAAGTTCTTTGATCTTTCGTCAGACAGGTGCTAGCTATCCGCGCGTTTAATTTTGAGTTCTAACACGTTGAGATAAGGTTCTCTATTAGGTAACCGCTTACGTGTTTAAGTTCCCTTATTAGCAGATTTCGTCACAGCGTTTGCTTTAGAATTCCACACTTAAACGTGGCTCTTCTATAAAAACTTGAAATATTTTAGTATGAAAAACTATTAGCGATTTAAATTATGGCTAGTAAAGTTTTGTAATAAATTACATTCCTGCATTTTATGTCTTCGTAAGTGTATATCAATGAACTACAAAGTAATAGACAATTTCTAAGCAAGTGTTAACTATTTATTATTGCTAAATTTATCTAAGCAAACATGTCATTAAAAAAAAAAAATGAGATTTGACGATGACGTGTAGGCCACGGTAGCCTCATCGGTCAGGTCAGCAACAAGGAAAGTGGATGCCGTTGGTGCCCCATCCAAAATTTTGTTGCAATCTAAATATATTGTAAATTAAAACCTATTTTAAAACAATATAATTTTCAGTATTAGAAACACTTTTAAATGTTTAAAACGCTAAGTATATTAGTTACTTATTTGTAAATTATTTCAATTAGGTCTCAACGTTTCGGAAATCAAAGTTTTATTAAAACGCGTACTACAGACGAGACTTATTTTCATTAAATTGAATCTATATAGTATTTACTTATATATGTGAAATAGATCATTGAATTGGTGGGAGGATTATAGAAATTCCGTGAAAAAGCCGTGAGCTTAATCGCGTTTCGGTTTCAGTCTGTGGATATCCGAATATCCAAAGCGAAAATAGGCCGACAGCGCATCTTGTTAAATGCTATAAGGCTGGGGTATATCACCATCCGTAAACCCCATGCCATGTCTGTACTCTTTTATCATTAAAAAACTAATATTCGTGTAATATACATCACAGTTGAAACTAATTGTTAATTATAAGAATTTTGAATCCATATTATAAGTTGGGAAACATAGCGTATCGTTAATATTATACCGTGAAAGTGTTGAGCGCATCCTCAGTGCATGACTTACGTAATAACTTCATTTTGTAAAGTGCAATGGGTCAAACTACGGGAACCCACCTGATACACGATCTAACCGCGACGTAAGAATCTTTATCTGCAGATATTGTGTTGCATTGTAATGCACCTGTGTTTCTTAAGTTATTCATTAGTGGAATCACGACCGTGTGAATTAAAAACTCAGTACGAACCGAGTTTTAAATTTTAAATGCCGAAACGTATATGTTCGATTTTTAAATACAATAGCTATAATTTTTAAATAAAACACTTTAACGG